GTCGTGAAAACCCAGATAAGAGGTTTTTTATAAAGGAGGGAAACTTGTGGAGGATGTGAAGAAGGATAGTGAGATGAGAGATAGCCAAGCGACACCAGAGAGAACTACAGCACACAGACGGGAGAGAAGGGATAGCCAGAACATCAGAACATCACCCTCACAAGGACATAGACGGGGAGGTTCACACACAGGACCACGACTTCTGAGTTCTCGCGCTAAGGCCTGGGACAGGACAGCAACCCACTAGGGGTGCGACGAGGCCGAGCGTGATTGCAGGACGCCTCATGTAGATCCGACAGATGATGCCGATGATTGTAAATTTGAGAATAGAACATTTGTATTCTGGAATGTATCAGGACTTAATTCTAAATTAACTGATCAGGACTTTACCGATTATTTAAACTCAATAGACTTCATCGGCATAACAGAAACATGGATAAAAGATATAGACACAAGTTTGATATTTCCAGGATTCAAGCTATGGATCAAAGAAGCTGAAAAGATTTCCAACTTTGGTAGACTTTCTGGTGGTATTGCCATATTAGTTAGACAACAACTATATGTAAAATGGTGTAAAGTTTACGACAGTGGCATGTTCATGCTGTTAGATAAAACCGTATTTGGATTTTATTTAATGTTTGCTATATTCATGTGTTTATGTGCACCCTGAATGTTCGACTTATGTTTATTTGATGATCGGGGGAGACTTGAATGCCAGAACTAGCACTGAATCCGACTTTGAAGAAGATGATATCCTTGAATATCTCGAGGGACATGATAACAGTGTATGGGGATTTCTGTTAGACAATTTCAGCTTAAAAAGATTTTCTGTGGATTTATCTTTGAATAACTTTGGTAAGAGCTTACTATGCAGTATACTAAATATACATATTATGAATGGAAGGTATGGGTCAGACGACGGGGTGGGAGATTTTACTTTTATAGGAAACCAGGGTGCGAGGGTGGTGGATTATGTTATTGTCTCGTCCTAGTTGTTTGATATGCGCCATAGCTTTGACATACCGTCTCATCACACCTTCCTGTCACGACTAGTTTACGTACGCATCTAGTACGTGACCCTACGCCACGCAATACACGTAACAATGCTTCCTTCAAATTTGTGTGGGTTGAAGAGAAGGCTAAACAGTTTAGAATAAACCTTATTTCTGGGACTGCTCATGATTTACTGGAAAAGGCTGTAGATGTAGCATTTGTTAACGTTGAAGAAAGTATTGGGTACTGGTATATTACTGAAGCTGTTATTATTGCTGCATCTGATATGAAGAAAATGAATAAGGGCTGTAAATATGAACAACAATGGTCTGATAACGAATGCCAGCTACTTGAAAAGGAACGATGTAGACGTTTAAGTAACTTTAGAAAGAATAAGGACAGAGGACCACTAACATACTATTATAGAGTAAGATGTCAGTACAACGATGTTTGTAAGAAAAAAAAGACAGAATATTTCGAACAAAAACAGAAACTGTTGGAATCAAGCATAGATAATTCTAAAACATTTTTGTCATCATTAAAAGCCATTAAATCAAATAGATATTGCAAAAATGACATTGATATTCAAGCCTGGTTTGAGCATTTCCAGGAATTGGTTTTCAGTTCCATTTAGCCATAACGATAACAATTTATTTGACGTGGAATTCAAAGAAGATAAAGTTGACAGTGTAACAGCTGATATTCTTGAATGTCCATTATCTAAAGAGGAAATTATTGACAGCATATCCAACCTTAAAGATAATAAGGCATCTGGAAATGATAATGTGATAGTAGAGTTTTTGTAACATTCCCCAGATATTTTAATACCATATTTGGAACTTATTTTTAATATCCTTTTAGAGAGATCATATTTACCAGATAATTGGACAGTTGGCATTATTGTTCCTCTTCACAAACAGGGCGCAACCAGCGATGTTAATAATTACAGAGACATAACTCACCTAAGTACATTCAGTAAAATATTTACTTCAATTATTAATAAGAGGCTTGTTTTCTGGGCAGATTCTTATGATAAAATAAGTGAGTCAAAAGCAGGTTTTAGAAAAGGATATTCCACCACTGACAATGCTTTTATCCTATATTCTATCATACAGAGATATATATCAGTGAAACGAGGGCAGCTATATGCAGTATACGTAGATTTTGCAAAAGCTTTTGACTCTGTGAAAAGGGTAAACTTGAGGTCACTTTTTCAAAGACATGGGCGAAGTAGCAAAATTGGAAAGTTATTGTGCTCTCTATATCAAAATGTGAAGGCGTGTGTACGGAACAATGGCGCTATATCGGATAATTTTGTAAGTGGCATGATTGTCCGACAAGGGTGTATATTAAGTCTCTTCTTATTTTCCTTCTTCATAAATGAATTAGCATATCAAATCCAAAATAATTGCACTGATGGAATACGACTACACCCCGAAACTATTAAATTATTTCTGCTTCTTTTCGCTGACGATATAGTCATGTTCTGGAGCACAAAACCTGGCTTGCAAAAGCAATTATTTGTATAAGAGAGTTATTGTGACGGGTCAAAGCTTACTGTAAATATGGATAAAACCAAGTGGTAGTTTTTAAAAATGGTGGTAACATATCAAGAAAAGAAAAATGGCTTTACAGAGGGAAGCCTGTAGAAGTTGTTCCATTTTATAAATACTTAGGCGTGTGTTTTACAAGTATATTAACTTGGTCAAGGAATGCACATAACATTTCATTGCAAGCCAAGACATTTTTTGTAGGCATATTGAAAAGTCTTAGAGCTCTGGACAATATTACATATGATGTTTATTTTAAAATATTTGATACAAAAATAAGACCGATTATATTGTATGGATCAGGAATTTGGGGCCTAGAACATTTGGATTTTATTGAGAAAATACATTATTATGCATGTAAAAAGTTCTTGGGTGTAAAATCTAGCACAGAAAACGCAAGGGTATATGGTGAATGCGGACGGTTTCCCATGTATATCAATAGTTATTTAAAGGTTATTAAATACTGGGTCAAGCTATTAAATATGCCATCTTCAAGATACCCTAGAAAATGTTATAATGTGATGCTTCTCTACGACAGCCATGGGAAACAAAATTGGGCATCAAAAGTTAAAAACATGTTATACGAATGTGGATATGGTTATATTTGGTTACAGCAACATGTAGATATGACAAAGCATTTCTTCTCCCGTTTGACACAGACCTTAAAAGATATGTTCATCCAAAAATGGCATGGTTCTTTGTACAGTTCTAGAAAAGCAAATAACTACACTACATTTAAGACTACTATTATACTAGAACCTTATCTATTAAGTGTAAATTTACATAAGTTAGAACTGCTCTTTCTCGATTTCGTTTTGGCTCTCATGATCTATTTATTGAAACAGGCAGATATGAAGGTATTGCAAAAGAACATCGACTTTGTAGGATTTGTAAAACTGATTGTAGTGAAGATGAATATCACTTTTTATGTGTATGTCCAGTGTATAAAGATTTAAGAGCAAATATCTAAATAACTATTTCTACCGCAACCCAAACGGTATCAAATTTTGTAAATGAATGACTTGTGATTGTACAGAAACTATGAAGATCATAATCCCCAGACACTAACCTCATGTTGTCACGGGGGCTGGTAGACCTGCAACGTCTGTGAGTAAGGGACACTCTGTCATAATTCGACTCTGACAGAGATCTGACATTGTTCTGCTAAAAACAAGTGAGGTGAAATGGTGAGGTTGGTGAAACTGGGTTTAACTTCGCGTTCAAGATTGTTGCATTTATGTAGCGACGTACATGTACGTGTGTGTGTGGCTGCTTGTACTGGTCCGGACAAATGGCGATTTTATAGTCCTAGCCCAACTAGACACAATGCCGCAGTTTAACATGATGCCCCACTCACACACACTATATTGACTCCAAGCCAGACAGTCCTTGCTTTAACCCCTGAATGCCGAGCACCAGGCAGGGTAACAAGTACCATCTTTTAATGTCTTTTGATATGAAGCATTGAGGATTCAAATGCCGGACCTTCCGCTCTCCAGGCAGACGATCTACTACTAGACCACGAGGAAGTCTCTTAAAAACAGACTTTTTCCGATTGTTGAGGTCATGTGATATGGTTTCAAAACGTGTTTCAAACATGGCGGACATTGATGATGTTGAGAATCGATCCAATGGGGTACGTGGGAACGGGTGGGACTCGGAGTCCTCTCCCAAACCTTGCGGGGCCACCTGATCCACCAGGTGCAGGTAATAGGTTGTGGTGCCAATGTCAGAGTGGGATGCCTGCTCCTCAGTTTCAGGGACAGGCAAAGGGATCTTCCCTCAAAGGGTTTGACAGCGTCCAAGTGTGACAACCTTTCGATACTCAAGGGTAACTCTGAGTATACGATGTATCGCCGGACGAATCTTGTTGGTTACAATCTTTGATCTTGTACAAGCTGTTATAATGTATCCAAAAGGGTCTGGGCTGTGATCAGCGAAACTTTGTTGTAGACACCAGTATACACATTTCCCCTCGTGCATGTGCAGTTGCCTTAAGGCTGAGTATAGGGTTTACCTAAAAGCTATTAGATAAGCTATCAGTGAAGAGGACGTCTGGTGAAAATGCAAAAAAATTATAGTGTAAGGACCCAAAAGAGGAATTATGTCTATGATGTAACAGAGTTAGGATACTGAATTAGTTTTCCAATGTGTGGGTGATTCTCTGGACAAACCTGGCAAATCATTTGGCACTCTATGGTAAATGGAGAAGGTAAAGACATACCATTCACACACATGTTCTAAAAGTTAATTCATTCAGCGAAATTACGTTTTAAACCTTGATTATCTTAAGAATTACATTTTATTTCAACCAAAGGCTCGCATAATACAATGTTTATTGTACTAGGTAATATTTATGATACATAAGCACACACAGCTAATAATCTATAATCACTTGTGAAGACAACGCACTCAACACCTTCAGTCATGGATTATCTATCACTCCTTTGAAGAAAAATTGAATCAATAACAGCACAATATTGGTTGGATATTTTATTGTTTGTGTGGATTATTATTATGTAATAAATATCACAGTATATGTATAATTCAAACAATGAGACTTACAAATGCAAAACTTGATGCTAACCATAGCCATCAGATAAACATAATGAGTACAGTTATAATGGGCTTCAGCTACATCACATTGGACTTGAGCACGGCGAGACACATGTGATGATGCTGCAGCTGACCCTGCCACTGTGTCGGCCTGTGAGGAGACATTGCAGTGTCATACACACTTCTCTAGATATTGCGTCATACAGGCTTACACAAACACACACAAGGACTTCACACTAGACACTCCAGCTAGTAGACACACATGGCTGGCTTACTTCTGTACAATTGTATGCAAGAGTTTATACTGGCTAAATTCGTAGAAATCACTGTTGTTTATATTACAAGACTTGACACAATATGATGGTCTTAAGTTAAAAGTATTCAAATTGACAATTTATCACCTGATTGAAGGTCAAGTGCATGTTATAAACCCATGGGCGTTATCTTTCCATGCTTCAATAAACATACATAATACTCGGCTGATATAGGGAATAAGTTGAAGACAAGGTAAATGCAATCAATTGTAATATAAAAACCCTGGATTTTCAGGAGTGCAAATGATATATTTATATATGTATGTATGTACACAATTAAATGCAGTTAATCAGAAACTACATACTACAAAAAGGTCCTCAACCTGAACATGTCATAGATAGTGCCGGGGGATTGTTTCATACAGCAATCTTAGGGAAAAGATCATACTCCCATAGTTGAACATAGACTTGCATATAGTCACAGTGCTAAAATCACTTCGCGGAATGATTTGGTTTGTCTGTTTGTTGTTTAAGGCCGCACACAGCAATATTGCAGCTATATGACGGCTGTCTGGACCAGACAATCCAGTGAGTGACGCAATCGGGATATGATGACATGCGTCAACCAAGTCAGCGAGCCTCACCACCCGATCCCGTTAATGGCCTCTTACGACAAGCACAGTCGCCTTTTACGGCAAGTATGGGCTCCTGAAGACGTATTCTAACCCGGATCTTTACGGATCTCGTGGTATGAGGCCTAGGGTCTTTACTGTACAAGTAATCATGGTATGACTTCTGTTGTACCTAATCAAAGATAGTTGTAGACTCCTAGACCTAAACACTTTGTGCACATGGGCCCAGGTATCCTACTGAAACCTGCCTAAACATCAAGAAGACATGTTTCTGAGAACAGAATACCGTCTTCATTACCAACATGACAACTTGAAAGTGTTCAAATATTCTATATGTTGATATTTGATTTATCAGTCTGGATAGACAGTCACATTATTAGGGTCTTTGCCTGAATGGTCCAGGGCTCATCCCATTATCATCATCTCTCTTGATAAGAAGAGCACTTGTTTAATGTTACATGAATTCCTTGACAAACAGGGGGAGTCCAATACATTGACTGTACACAACATGGACGGCAACAGTTCCTGACATGGAGGACCATCACACAGCAACATACATATCACAGATGAATGACAGACACACTCCGCACTACCGTGCATTGGAGGACTGTGTTCGGGGGCGATCCCGGGAAGACTTGGGAAGTTTCTGTGGTGTGTGGAACCCAGGAGACCTAGAACAGAGATATATACATGCGGTAAAATACACAAATACAAAATTAGTAAAATCTAAATATTTTTTACATTTGTATACTTATCCTGCATTACTCCTTAATGCATTCACTGCTTACCTTACGACAAAAAAAACTGGGACAGCTAACCGGCGATGGTCCTTGGGTGAATTATTCTGTTCACAATCCAACTTTTATATCCCGCCGTCGCTGTCCCGGTGATCACGTGACCAAAGGTCAACTCTTCACATCACTGCCTGTCGCCCGAGCTTAAAAAAACATACTTTTGAGGTTTCTGAAGCCAAAGTGGGGAGGCAAGTCTGCGACGGGTGGGCCTTAAACGTAGTAATGCAGGATAAGTATACAAATGTAAAAAATATTTAGATTTTACTAAATTTTTTACTTATCCTGCATTACTCCTTAATGCATCTGTATCGGACGGTATGGAGGTGGGAAATCCTCAATACAGAAACCTCAATAATTCACACCCTGACACCTGACACAGATTAGTCAGTAACCCGTTAAGCGGAAAAGTTGAGAAAAAACGCTTATACGGTAGGGTATTACAATGTGGCAAACAATTGCACATGGGAATTAAAGAATAGTTCCCTATACATTTTAGTAATAAAGACAACGAGCTGCTCAGCCAAATCTTTACTTACTATGTGATTATAGCCCTGATGACAATAACTTGTCTTCCCTTGGCGAAATCTGATCAATAACACCGAACAGGAAAAGGCTCTGTATAGGGCGTGTATATTATTTGCGTCGAGGGTTGGTGACTTGCTGAGCTACAACCAACGGCCCAAAACTGCGTACACCTTCAATGTCCTCGAGAGTCACATCGCGAAGATAATGACTAGCGAAAACTGTGTCAGACCTCCAAAAACATCCTTCCATGATTGTCTTGATAGTACAATTGCTGTGTAAGGCCATGGTAGAGGCTAATGCCCTGATCTCATGAGGATTATTCGTTCTTGGTGGATCCAAATTGGCGATCGAATAAGCCTGAAGGATGACTGCGCGTAACCATAAGGATATGGTGTTGCGACTGACCTCGGTCGTGGATGTAGCAGATACGGGTATAAATAACCGCTTCCTCGAACCACGCCTAGTCTTGGAACGGCGGATGAAAATTCGCAGTGCCCGTACCGGACATAATAGAAGTTCACCCTCATCCTCACTGCCCACAATCGTCGAGATTGGTGGAATGGTGAAGGAACGATCAGGTTGGCCTGGTAATTGATTCTTGGCAATAAAATACCAGCACAACCCTAGATGTACCGCTCCGTGCGTCCCATGCTCAAAACGAACCCGGGTGATGTCGATTGCATGTAATTCGCTCACCCGTGCCGCTGTGGCTAATGCCAAGAGAAACATTGTTTTCTTGGTGAGGTCATAAAATGAGGTTGCATTGAGGGGCTCAAATGGGGGTCCTCGCAAACCTCGAAGTACCACGTTCAGATCCCACGCAGGTGGGCGGAACTTGGTCTTCTGATCCTCAAGCCTAAAAGAGCGTAATAAGGCCTGTAGTTCCGGGATCTTAGTAATCTTACGATTATCCGGAACGGCCAACACTGAGTTAAGTGCAACCAAGTACGTGGTAATGGTGCTACCTTTCAAGTGTCTCTGGGTACGCAGATGTAGGAGGTATTCAGCTAAAAACTGAGGTGACGCCGTAGTAGGATCTTGACCTTTTGCCTTGCAAAAAGTCTCAAATGATCCCCACTTATCATCGTAAAGGCTTCTAGTAGAGGGACGATGAGCTAAGGTTATAGCTTTAGCTGCCCGATCCGAATAGCCTTTGGCACTTAATGCCTTTTTAAGACGAACCAACCGTGCAGACGAAATTTGTCTGGTGTTGGATGAGGCAATTTGCTGTGAGGGTGGATTAGTAGGTTGGACCACTGTGGAAGGTGTAGTGGATCTTTTCCTGCTAGCTTCCTGAGCTCGACGAACCACCCTCTCGCTGGCCACCAGGGCGCGACCAAAGTCAGAGCAAGTGTTCTTGTCTCTTGGATCTTTTGTATTACCCTGGGAAGTAGAACTGGTGGCGGAAATGCATACGCCTTTATTCCTTCCCAAGGAATGCTGAATGCGTCCACCGCCCAAGCCTTCGGATCTGGTAACGGGGAGACATATGTCAAAAGTTGGTGGTTTTGGCAAGTTGCAAACAGGTCGATGTTTGGTTGCCCGAACTTCCGAACCAATAATTGGAATGCTTCTGTGTGAAGTTTCCACTCGGTGGGTGCTACCCTGTCTGGGCGTGATAGAGCATCGGCCAGAATATTTCGACATCCGGGGATGTGCTGAACTATGAACTGTAGTTGCAGCCGATCCACTAGATGGAAAAACCTGAATGTCTGTTGAAGTAGCGAGTTGGAGTGTGTTGTTCCCTGATTGCGCAGGCACCACACCACAGTGCTGTTGTCTGTGGATATGGATAGTTGGGTTGATTGTAGTTGATTCTGCCAATGGGATATGGCTAGAATTACGGCTTCCAACTCCAGATTGTTTATGTGCCATTTCCGATGAGCGCTTGACCATAGCCCTGAGACTGTCTGGTCTTGTAGGTGAGCACCCCACCCCTGAAGGGAGGCGTCTGCGAATAGGTGTAGATTCGGGGACAACCCTGATAAAGAGATTCCTCCTAAGACATTCGACTCTATCGTCCACCAACGGAGATAAGGTCTCAAATTCGTTGGTAGCATGATGGCCCTGAGTGGATCCTGACCCCTGATGTAGGGATTCAGGAATTGTTGTATTGGGCGTAACTGTAATCGGCCTCTGTTGGTTAGGTCCTGGGCTGAGGTGAGTAACCCTAGCAACACTTGCCATTGGTGAAGTGTGCGTGGTTGACAAAGAGCAGGTGACAGGAGGCGTAAAATCTTGTGCCATCTGTCCCTGGGAACCGACAGGAGGTTCTGATCTGTTTGAAATAGTCCTCCTATGAACTGGAGTCGAAATGATGGAGTTAACTCCGATTTCGCCTCGTTGACTATCCAACCCAGTTGATATAGTAGTCTTCTGGTGAATTCCCGGTGACATATTAACGTCGGTGTGTGTTGATGACACAGGAGACAGTCGTCTATGTACGACTGGAACCAAATGTTCCTCAGTTGTAGAAACACAGTTATGGGCTTCATTATTCGTGTAAAATAGCCACGGGGCCACTGAAATGCCAAATGGGAGTACTGCCCACTGGTAGTGGACCCCATTGAACTGGAACCTGAGGAATCTGCGATCTTTGGGATGAATCGGTATGTGCAGATATGCATCCTGTAGATCGATACTGATCAAGGAATCGAACGCTTTTATGCTGGTTCTGAGTAGTCTCAATGTAATGAGGCGGAAATAGGGTGGACGCTTCAGATAGAGCTCGTTGAAAACAGAGAGATTGTGTATCATTCTCATCTTGTCTGAGCCCTTCTTGGGTACCAGGAAGATGTGAGAATAAAATCCCGGAGTTAGCGCTGGGGTGTGTATAATCTCTACGGCTCTTTTCTCCAATAGTAAGTCTATGTTGGCCTTTAAAAGGACATGTTGCTTCCTTGGATAATTCCCCGGAATGGGTGCCGTGGTCAACGGAGGAAAAACCTCTATGTCTAGTTGGTAACCCTGGCGTAGAATGTTGAGAACATAATCGTCCCTGAGGATGCTCCAGTTCTTCCAAAACCGATTCAGTCTCCCGCCTACAGGGGTATCGACAATTGGGACGAATGGGGGTAGGAGATCCCAGTCGTGACTGTCTAACATTTCAATGTTTGCCCCTCCTATCACCTCCCTTACTGTGGTATTTACCACGTCGGGATTGATAAGAACCCTGGGGTTTTCCTCTGCCACGCCCCTTGCCACGAAAAGAATCTTGCACCTGTCCTTCCTTAAGCGACTCACGTCTAGGCCTGTAGTTGCCTGACTTGCCCGATCGCTGGGAAAAATTTTGAGAAACATGCTCCAAAGCCTTGAGTGCTGTTTCATCCCTAGCGTAACTGGAAACCTTAGCGTGTGTGTCTGAAATCTGTTCGTTGAACAGAGATGATGAAGACCAAGGTTGACGTAGCAATCTGCGTTTAAACTCTGAGTCCCAAGTAGATAAGGCTAAATAACCCAATCTCCGAGTGACAGTTATTTCTGCCAACGCAGCTTTAAGATGATTTCTTATATGGTCAATCTGACGCTGTTGAAAATCAACTATAGTTTGGAGGTGATCTAGTCTGTTAGGATTATCCTCTGACAGATCCTGCTCTACCGCCCGAGTAGACGATGCTAATGCTGCTAAAGGTTTTAATACCCTTCGGATTTCTGTTTCAATAAACGCAACTCTGGTATCCTGAACCTTAAGAGTGGTAGGCCTTGACGAGCCTGTCATTCTGTGTATATCCTCATCCAAACTATGTGCCTGGTTTGCTGCCTCAAAGCCATGAATAGGAAATTCATCCTTCCTAAACCTGGGAGGTCTGAATGACGGTGTAAGTGTGAGCTTGGAGAAGTCCTCATCCAAAGATCTAATCATATCTGACATCATAGGGTCAATCGGAATCGACGTAGGATGTGTCCAAATAGTATCTTTTTTATCTACCCCACTACCCGGGGAAGGTACTGAAATGAGGCGGTCAGCTACCCAATCAGGTACTTGAGCCAGGCTAAGGTGAGTATTCCATTCGTTCGCGGAATCTCCCTCCTCACCATTAGAACCATCTGATGAATCAGAACGACGTTGATGTGTACGTCTTGATGGTGAACGACTTCTACTCCGATGTGCAATATTACCTCTGACCGAGGGCTTAGATGAACTGCCTGGTGACAAGGAATCATGCGTTGATGTCCAAGTACGGGCAGGTGTACTGGTACTACTCAACGAAGAATGTACTGTATTATGACTCATAATAGGAGTGTTATACACATTAGTCACTGGAGTAGGTGGTAAAATATGTGCCGTAGATGTAGTTGATGCAGGTGTCTGATACATAGGCATAGGTGTAGGCAAAGGCATAGGCGTAGGCATAGGCGTAGGCGTAGGCATAGGCGCAGGCGTAGGATACAGTTGTGTCATAGACTGCTGCCACATTGATTGTAGAAAATTTTGCATCCAATTAGTGTTTGGAATTGGCATAGGCACCTGCGCTGGATACATTGGTACGGCGCTAAGCTGATCGTGCGCTGGTTGCGTAATATCATACGCTGATAACCCTTGGGCTGAAGTCATTGTAGAAGCGCTTGGGTAGTAGGGCTTGGCTGCGCTCGGCGCAGGCATATGAGGCGCAATGCTCAATGGAGTAGACTTGAGTCTAGCTTGGCTTGGCGCTATCCCCGACAACGCATCTTGAGACGCTGGCGCACTGTCTGCATACGTAACAGATGTAGAATTCTCCAAATTAGGTGCAATTATAATACGCCCAACATTCTCCGGGAGAGAAGATTCCGGTGGCATGTGCACCTCCGCGGTGACAGTTACGGCCGACCTATTATCCCTCATAGATAAAGGTTGCGTCGTAATGATCGAATCCTGTCCCTCGCTCATTTGCGATAGCGATAGAGACATTTTCCTTTTCTCAAGACGTGATTGCTGCAAAATACGTTTGTGAGTGACTTGCCTATACCTCGCGAAACTCTTTGGAGAGAGGTTTTTACAAAAAACACATTTAGAATTTGGTGCACAAATTTGTGTACATGACAAACAACGTGGGTGAGGATCTTGAATAGATTTTTTCCCACGACAATTAGTACAACGCGCAAGCATAAGTTACGCAATAATATACTAGAAGAAAACGGGACTGGAATTTACTGCCGTAGATAATTTCTCGGCAAAATATTTGAACGAGTTGATAGTGTATAAATGCTTGAATATACGCAACTCAATGAACCGCCAAAGCTAGAAGTATTGAAAACAACATATGAAATATGTTATACATACCTAGCCGATAATTGTAAACAATTGACTACCTTTACCAAGCAAACAATTGTAACACAATTCAAAATGGCGGGGAACAGATAGCACGTGGCGGGAAAAAAGACACGTCTCTTTTTCCGCCTCAAAACATCAAATACAACTTCACAACATGTTGAAAGTAATATGAAAGGTATACATCACCCATCGCAGAAGAATTTTAGAATGGTAGACGAATGGAAAGCCTAAATAAATCCAAAAAAACAAGAGCTCCGCTGGAAACGTCCTAGCTATGTCGCGACAGGCAGTGATGTGAAGAGTTGACCTTTGGTCACGTGATCACCGGGACAGCGACGGCGGGATATAAAAGTTGGATTGTGAACAGAATAATTCACCCAAGGACCATCGCCGGTTAGCTGTCCCAGTTTTTTTTGTCGTAAGGTAAGCAGTGAATGCATTAAGGAGTAATGCAGGATAAGTAAAAAATTTACATTTTTAACAAAAAATGGCCATCAATTGCTTTTCAATTTGGCTGCTGTGGAGGCCATGATGAACGTCATATCCAAACCTCTTGAACAAATTAAGGTGTAATCATTGGTGGCACCAAGCATGTGAAGTTTCAAGTTCACTGGTCCAGTGCAAGCAAATGCATTATCTAACAAATGTGACTCTCTTCCCTGCATGGTTGCTTACCTCCCCTGTTTGTGTGCGGATCCAGGGCCTGACTTGATAGGACTGGGTCTCCCAACAGAGTAAGAAACCTCAGAATCCTCTCTAAATGCAAACATAGAAATCATACAACACATCAGGCACGATTCATGAGGCAAATCATAAATAAGTGTCATGTTTAGAGGTGAAACATTCAACTTCAAAGAGGGACACTAATGCTTTGTCTTTATTTTGTCCTCTACTACTGTGCTAGGCGATAGTCTTCTGATCAAGAGACCTATAGTATTTTGTGTTTGTTTGCTGTTTAATGCCGAGTCAGATGACCCTGTTCTGTGATAGTCTTCTGTTCAGGTAAACCTACAGTAAAGCTCCCCTACCTAAGAGGAACAAATCTGTCCTCAAACTACCCGAGTCAGATGACCGTGTTGTGTGATAGTCTTCTGTTCAGGTAAACCTACAGTAAAGCTCCCCTACCTGAGAGGAACAAATCTTTCCCTGCTGCTGGAGACATCCGGGTCCGAGACGGAAGGAATAATTTCAAATTCATCAGGAGGAGGAGAACTGTCCTGCTGGAAGAAAACAAAATGTCACAAGATGGCTTCTGTGTCCTGCTGTAAGTCACAATGTGCTGTCCTTCAGAAACTTTCCTGACACATTAATCTAAAACGGAAAGTAAGAGCAGAATTCATCAATAAATATTAGAGTTAATAATGTCGGTATTGAAGGGCGACTGACGATAGTACATCTACCTAGGTCAACCTACCTGATGAGAGTACATCTATCTGCCTGTATTGGAGGTCAACCTACCTGATAAGAGTACATCTACCAGCCTGTATTGGAGGTCGACCTACCTGATGAAAGTACATCTACCTGCGGGTATTGGAGGTAGACTTACCTGATGAGAGTACATCTATCTGCCTGTAGTGGAGGTCGACCTACCTGATGAGAGTACATCTATCTGCCTGCATTGGAGGTCGACCTACGTGATGAAAGTATATCTACCTGCGGGTATTGGAGGTTGACTTACCTGATGTGAGTACATCTATCTGCCTGTATTGGAGGTCAACCTACGTGATGAAAGTTTATCTACCTGCGGGTATTGGAGGTTGACTTACCTGATGTGAGTACATCTATCTGCCTGTATTGGAGGTCGACCTACCTGATGAAAGTAGATTTACCAGCGGGTATTGGAGGTAGACCTTCCTGATGAGGGTACATCTATCTGCCTGTAGTGGAGGTCGACCTACCTGATGAGAGTACATCTATCTGCCTGTAGTGGAGGTAGACCTTCCTGATGAGAGTACATCTATCTGTCTGTAGTGGAGGTAGACTTACCTGATCAGAGTACATCCATCTGCCTGTATTTGAGGTCGACCTACCTGATGAAAGTACATCTACCTGCGGGTATTGGAGGTCGACCTACCTGATGAAAGTACATCTACCTGCGGGTATTGGAGGTAGACCTACCTGATGAGAGTACATCTACCTGCTGGTATTGGAGGTCGACCTATCTGATGAGAGTACATCTACCTGCGGGTATTGGAGGTCGACCTACCTGATGAGAGTACTCTCGGCGTACTGCATTACTCAGTTCTTGTTTGAGGCTGGCTACATGGCGTCGATGTGACTCGATTTCGTCCTCCAGGGAGTGGATTTTGGCCACAGCCTGGTGCTGGGTGTCAATGAAGGCACCCACAAGGTTCTGTCATGAAGGATATCAGTGTCAGGTTAGAGCGAAATAAAGACTGGAAGGTGCCCGTTTCCTTAGGATTTGTAAAATTTTGAAAACGGTCCTGATGAGAACACATTCCCATATACTTAGTACATTCATATTTCACAATACAATGCAATCCTTATTCCCCAAACAGTACACGTTATTATACTGCTGCCTACAACATACACACCTGACATGCTATCAGCTCTGGGCCTGCCTTGCCAACATCAGTGGGGATAAAGTCAACATTCAGCAAAGCCTTGGAAAGTTCGGCATCATGGCGACCAGGATCTTTGAGTAGAGACATTTGTCTTTTAGCCTAGATTTAAAAACAAAATGATTGTTATTAATGCTAAAAAATGTCTGGTACTTGTGTACAATACTGTTCACCAACATGAGTGAAATTGTGAACAAACAAATAATCTGTCACGTGACAGTACAGCTGTATTCTTTCTAATCTCTCATTTTATCATGTGTATGTCCCCACTATCTCTCCAGACCCCTTACTTGTCTCTCTACCGACACCACGTGTAGGGTGTTAGCTGTGTCTCTACCGACACCAGATGTGTAGGGTGTGAGCTGTGTCTCTACCGACACCACATGTGTAGGGTGTGAGCTGTGTCTCTACCGACACCACGTGTAGGGTGTTAGCTGTGTCTCTACCGACACCACATGTGTAGGGTGTGAGCTGTGTCTCTACCGACACCACATGTGTAGGGTGTTAGCTGTGTCTCTACTGACACCACATGTGTAGGGTGTTAGCTGTGTCTCTACCGACACCACATCTGTAGGGTGTTAGCTGTGTATCTACCGACACCACATGTGTAGGGTGTTAGCTGTGTCTCTACCGACACCACATGTGTAGGGTGTTAGCTGTCTCTCTACCGACACCACATGTGTAGGGTGTTAGCTGTCTCTCTACCGACACCACATGTGTAGGGTGTTAGCTGTGTCTCTACCGACATCACATGTGCAGGGTGTTAGCTGTCTCTCTACCGACACCACATGTGTAGGGTGTTAGCTGTCTCTCTACAGACACCACATCTGTAGGGTGTTAGCTGTGTCTCTACCGACACCACATGTGTAGGGTGTTAGCTGTGTCTCTACCGACACCACATGTGCAGGGTGTTAGCTGTCTCTCTACCGACACCACATGTGTAGGGTGTTAGCTGTCTCTCTACCGACACCACATGTGTAGGGTGTTAGCTGTCTCTCTACCGACACCACATGTGCAGGGTGTTAGCTGTCTCTCTACCGACACCACATGTGTAGGGTGTTAGCTGTGTCTCTACCGACACCACATGTGTAGGGTGTTAGCTGTGTCTCTACCGACACCACATTCGTAGGGTGTTAGCTGTCTCTCTACCGACACCACATGTGTAGGGTGTTAGCTGTGTCTCTACCGACACCACATGTTTAGGGTGTTAGCTGTCTCTCTACCGACACCACGTGTGTAGGGTGTTAGCTGTCTCTCTACCGACACCACATGTGTAGGGTGTTAGCTGTCTCTCTACCGACACCACGTGTGTAGGGTGTTAGCTGTCTCTCTACCGACACCACATGTGTAGGGTGTTAGCTGTCTCTTTACCGACACCACATGTGTAGGGTGTTAGCTGTGTCTCTACCGACACCACATGTGTAGGGTGTTAGTTGTCTCTCTACAGACACCACATGTGTAGGGTGTTAGTTGTCTCTTTACCGACACCACATGTGTAGGGTGTTAGTTGTCTCTCTACAGACACCACATGTGTAGGGTGTTAGCTGTCTCTCTACCGACACCACGTGTGTATGGTGTTAGCTGTCTCTCTACCGACACCACATGTGTAGGGTGTTAGCTGTCTCTTTACCGACACCACATGTGTAGGGTGTTAGCTGTGTCTCTACCGACACCACATGTGTAGGGTGTTAGTTGTCTCTCTACAGACACCACATGTGTAGGGTGTTAGTTGTCTCTTTACCAACACCACATGTGTAGGGTGTTAACTGTCTCTCTACCGACACCACATGTGTAGGGTGTTAGCTGTCTCTCTACCAACACCACATGTGTAGGGTGTTAGCTGTCTCTCTACCGACACCACATGTGTAGGGTGTTAGCTGTGTCTCTACCGACACCACATGTGTAGGGTGTTAGCTGTCTCTCTACCGACACCACATGTGTAGGGTGTTAGCTGTCTCTCTACCGACACCACATGTGTAGGGTGTTAGCTGTCTCTCTACCAACACCACATGTGTAGGGTGTTAGCTGTCTCTCTACCGACACCACATGTGTAGGGTGTTAGCTGTCTCTCTACCGACACCACATGTGGAGGGTGTTAGTTGTTTCTCACCTCATGGAGTGCTCCCTCGACCGACTTCATGTAGTGAGACAGGATATCCTTATCTCTGGAGAAGAACAATAGTACAGACAGTTAGTAGCTCCACAGGATGAGAGGTAGAACACACAGATCTACAGCAGACTATGTGTCACCAAATAGGTCAAATATTACTACAATGTCTTTGCATGTTGCACAACTGTCAAAAATTATCAGGGCAAATGCGTTCTTTTTATAACTCCAAGGACTAAATGGGGGTTACCTGTTTGCTGTGTGCAGTGCGTTCTCGGTGTCGGCCATGTTGCCGGTGACAGACTTGCGCTCCATCTCCATCTGGAGCACCTGCTTCTGCAGTTGGCGGATGGACTGTTCCCGCCGTCGCAACTCCACCTTCGCCTCTGACAGCCCCTGCAGAGACATCGTGACTATTGTTATACGGCATAATACTTTATTCTTTAACAGTGATTGTAACTGTGCTACATTGTTTCTGATTCAATAGACGGCATTGTGTTTGGGCAGTGATCAGTCATCAGGAAGTTATGATATCTAGATGTTAGTGTGCTGTGTAAACTTTCGGTCCGGTATACCACAGTGATAGTATGTTTTCAAAACATATGGAACTTTTTGAGTATCTGGTTAGCTATATGAGGGACAAAACGTGTTTACAAATCTTTCACACATTTTGTCTCTCATGCATTAAAACCCTGCCAAGCCCATCTCGGAAGCTTGACCACTGTCCCCCATTTTGGTGTTTGATACTGCCCACTGCCATCATATTATTTATTGCCATTGAATATTGTACTACCACTGTATTGTGTTCTGCCATTGTATATTGTGCTACCACTGTATTGTGTTCTGCCATTGACTATTGTACTACCACTGTATTGTGTTCTGCCATTGTATATTGCACTGCCACTGTATTGTGTTCTGCCATTGACTATTGTACTACCACTGTATTGTGTTCTGCCATTGACTATTGTACTACCACTGTATTGTGTTCTGCCATTGTATATTGTGCTACCACTGTATTGTGTTCTGCCATTGTATATTGCACTGCCACTGTATTGTGTTCTGCCATTGACTATTGTACTACCACTGTATTGTGTTCTGCCATTGACTATTGTACTACCACTGTATTGTGTTCTGCCATTGAATATTGTACTACCACTGTATTGTGTTCTGCCATTGTATATTGTGCTACCACTGTATTGTGTTCTGCCATTGTATATTGCACTGCCACTGTATTGTGTTCTGCCATTGACTATTGTACTACCACTGTATTGTGTTCTGCCATTGACTATTGTACTACCACTGTATTGTGTTCTGCCATTGACTATTGTACTACCACTGTATTGTGTTCTGCCATTGACTATTGTACTACCACTGTATTGTGTTCTGCCATTGACTATTGTACTACCACTGTATTGTGTTCTGCCATTGACTATTGTGCTACCACTGTATTGTGTTCTGCCATTGAATATTGTACTACCACTGTATTGTGTTCTGCCATTGAATATTGTACTACCACTGTATTGTGTTCTGCCATTGTATATTGTGCTACCACTGTATTGTGTTCTGCCATTGTATATTGTGCTACCACTGTATTGTGTTCTGCCATTGAATATTGTACTACCACTGTATTGTGTTCTGCCATTGAATATTGTACTACCACTGTATTGTGTTCTGCCATTGTATATTGTGCTACCACTGTATTGTGTTCTGCCATTGACTATGGTACTACCACTGTATTGTGTTCTGCCATTGACTATTGTAATACCACTGTATTGTGTTCTGCCATTGAATATTGTACTACCACTGTATTGTGTTCTGCCATTGAATATTGTACTACCACTGTATTGTGTTCTGCCATTGACTATTGTACTACCACTCTATTGTGTTCTGCCATTGACTATTGTACTACCACTGTATTGTGTTCTGCCATTGACTATTGTACTATCACTGTATTGTGTTCTGCCATTGAATATTGTACTACCACTGTATTGTGTTCTGCCATTGTATATTGTGCTACCACTGTATTGTGTTCTGCCATTGACTATGGTACTACCACTGTATTGTGTTCTGCCATTGTATATTGTGCTACCACTGTATTGTGTTCTGCCATTGTATATTGTACTACCACTGTATTGTGTTCTGCCATTGAATATTGTACTACCACTGTATTGTGTTCTGCCATTGTATATTGTGCTACCACTGTATTGTGTTCTGCCATTGACTATGGTACTACCACTGTATTGTGTTCTGCCATTGACTATTGTACTACCACTGTATTGTGTTCTGCCATTGAATATTGTACTACCACTGTATTGTGTTCTGCCATTGAATATTGTACTACCACTGTATTGTGTTCTGCCATTGACTATTGTACTACCACTGTATTGTGTTCTGCCATTGACTATTGTACTACCACTGTATTGTGTTCTGCCATTGACTATTGTACTATCACTGTATTGTGTTCTGCCATTGAATATTGTACTACCACTGTATTGTGTTCTGCCATTGACTATTGTACTACCACTGTATTGTGTTCTGCCATTGACTATTGTGCTACCACTGTATTGTGTTCTGCCATTGAATATTGTACTACCACTGTATTGTGTTCTGCCATTGAGTATTGTACTACCACTCTATTGTGTTCTGCCATTGACTATTGTACTACCACTGTATTGTGTTCTGCCATTGTATATTGTACTACCACTGTATTGTGTTCTGCCATTGAATATTGTACTACCACTGTATTGTGTTCTGCCATTGTATATTGTACTACCACTGTATTGTGTTCTGCCATTGAATATTGTACTACCACTGTATTGTGTTCTGCCATTGTATATTGTACTACCACTGTATTGTGTTCTGCCATTGAATATTGTACTACCACTGTATTGTGTTCTGCCATTGACTATTGTGCTACCACTGTATTGTGTTCTGCCATTGAATATTGTACTACCACTGTATTGTGTTCTGCCATTGTATATTGTACTACCACTGTATTGTGTTCTGCCATTGTATATTGTACTACCACTGTATTGTGTTCTGCCATTGTATATTGTACTGCCACTGTATTGTGTTCTGCCATTGTATATTGTACTACCACTGTATTGTGTTCTGCCATTGTATATTGTACTACCACTGTATTGTGTTCAGCCATTGTATATTGTACTGCCACTGTATTGTGTTCTGCCATTGTATATTGTACTACCACTGTATTGTGTTCTGCCATTGAATATTGTACTACCACTGTATTGTGTTCTGCCATTGTATATTGTACTACCACTGTATTGTGTTCTGCCATTGAATATTGTACTACCACTGTATTGTGTTCTGCCATTGACTATTGTGCTACCACTGTATTGTGTTCTGCCATTGAATATTGTACTACCACTGTATTGTGTTCTGCCATTGTATATTGTAATACCACTGTATTGTGTTCTGCCATTGTATATTGTACTACCACTGTATTGTGTTCTGCCATTGTATATTGTACTGCCACTGTATTGTGTTCTGCCATTGTATATTGTACTACCACTGTATTGTGTTCTGCCATTGTATATTGTACTACCACTGTATTGTGTTCTGCCATTGTATATTGTACTGCCACTGTATTGTGTTCTGCCATTGTATATTGTACTACCACTGTATTGTGTTCTGCCATTGAATATTGTACTACCACTGTATTGTGTTCTGCCATTGTATATTGTGCTACCACTGTATTGTGTTCTGCCATTGACTATTGTACCACCACTGTATTGTGTTCTGCCATTGACTATTGTGCTACCACTGTATTGTGTACTGCCATTGACTATTGTGCTACCACTGTATTGTGTACTGCCATTGAATATTGTACCACCACTGTATTGTGTTCTGCCATTGAATATTGTACCACCACTGTATTGTGTTCTGCCATTGAATATTGTACCACCACTGTATTGTGCTCTGCCATTGAATATTGTACTGCCACTGTATTGTGTACTGCCATTGAATATTGTACCACCACTGTATTGTGTACTGCCATTGAATATTGTACCACCACTGTATTGTGTTCTGCCATTGAATATTGTACCACGTCTGTATTGTGTTCTGCCATTGAATATTGTACCACCACTGTATTGTGTTCTGCCATTGAATATTGTACTACCACTGTATTGTGTTCTGCCATTGAATATTGTACCACCACTGTATTGTGTTCTGCCATTGAATATTGTACCACCACTGTATTGTGTTCTGCCATTGAATATTGTACTACCACTGTATTGTGTTCTGCCATTGACTATTGTACTACCGCTGTATTGTGTTCTGCCATTGAATATTGTACTATCACTGTATTGTGTTCTGCCATTGTAATTGCTGTGCAGTAATTTGTGTTGAAATGTAAAGCTAGTTAATTTGGTAATACAATTGTTAATTGTAGACCATTTGTTGGTTGATTCACACTGAGTTTCACACATACAGATTTCTTGGTTAACATATTGTATTATAATAGGAATAGACCCTGCAGACACACGCGAGATATCTGCAAGGGATTCATTTTATCTAAGTAGCCTACTGGCCCAAGTTTTGGCTAACCTACACAGTACACTGTCTCATGAGATATTTCCGTTGATCAATATGTCCTTGTGACCTGCATAGAGAAAGATGTCCTTTTGACTGACCTGCATGGATCAATATGTCCTTGTGACTGATCGCATGGATCAAGATGTCCTTGTGACTGACCTGCATGGATCACTTTGTGCTTGTGACTGACCTGCATGGATCAAGATGTCCTTGTGACTGACCTTCATGGATCACTATGTGCTTGTGACTGACCTGCATGGATCAAGATGTCCTTGTGATTGACCTGCATGGGTCACTATGTGCTTGTGACTGACCTGCATGGATCACTTTGTGCTTGTGACTGACCTGCATGGATGAAGATGTCCTTGTGACTGACCTGCATGGATCACTATGTGCTTGTGACTGACCTGCATGGATCAAGATGTCCTTGTGACTGACCTGCATGGATCACTATGTGCTTGTGACTGACCTGCATGGATCAAGATGTCCTTGTGACTGATCGCATGGATCAAGATGTCCTTGTGACTGATCCCATGGATCAAGATGTCCTTGTGACTGACCTGCATGGATCAAGATGTCCTTTTGACTGACCCGCATGGATCAATATGTCCTTGTGACTGATCGCATGGATCAATATGTCCTTGTGACTGACCTGCATGGATCAAGATGTCCTTGTGACTGACCTGCATGGATCAATATGTCCTTGTGACTGATCGCATGGATCAATATGTCCTTGTGACTGACCTGCATGGATCAATATGTCCTTGTAACTGACCTGCATGGATCAATATGTCCTTGTTACTGACCTGCATGGATCAATATGTCCTTGTTACTGACCTGCATGGATCAATATGTCCTTGTAACTGACCTGCATGGATCAATATGTGCTTGTGACTGACCTGCATGGATCAAGATGTCCTTGTGACTGACCTGCATGGATCAAGATGTCCTTGTGACTGACCTGCATGGATTAATATGTGCTTGTGACTGACCTGCATGGATCAATATGTCCTTGTAACTGACCTGCATGGATCAGGATGTCCTTGTGACTGACCTGCATGGATCACTTTGTGCTTGTGACTGACCTGCATGGATCAAGATGTCCTTGTGACTGACCTGCATGGATCACTATGTGCTTGTGACTGACCTGCATGGATCAAGATGTCCTTGTGATTGACCTGCATGGGTCACTATGTGCTTGTGACTGACCTGCATGGATCACTTTGTGCTTGTGACTGACCTGCATGGATGAAGATGTCCTTGTGATTGACCTGCATGGATCACTATGTGCTTGTGACTGACCTGCATGGATCAAGATGTCCTTGTGACTGACCTGCATGGATCACTATGTGCTTGTGACTGACCTGCATGGATCACTTTGTGCTTGTGACTGACCTGCATGGATCAAGATGTCCTTGTGACTGACCTGCATGGATCACTATGTGCTTGTGACTGACCTGCATGGATCAAGATGTCCTTGTGACTGACCTGCATGGATCAATATGTGCTTGTGACTTACCTGCATGGATCACTATTTCATTGTGACTGACCTCCATGGATTAATATGTCCTTGTGACTGACCTCCAAGGATTAATATGTCCTTGTGACTGACCAGCATGAATCAATACATTCTTGTGACTGACCTGCACGGCTTCTGTGAGAGTCACCTCCTTGTCCATGCCCTGGGTGGCACACAGGTCCAGCCTGACACTCAGTTCCTCCAGCTGCTGACTCTGTTCCTGCAGCAGGTGCTGCGCCTGCTGCTCTCTACGCAGCGCACTGTTCAGCTCCTGACAGACTCGCTCAAACTTCTCCATGGTCACATACTTGGGATTCTGTCGGGAGGGGAGAGAGTCAGTGAGGAGGTCATTCCAAAGAGACCTATGTATCTACAACCATATGTTGCAGCCATCTAATGATACCTCTGTATCTACAACTATATGTTGCAGCCCTCCAGTGATACCTCTGCATCTATAACTATATGTTGCAGCCCTCCAGTGATATTTCAACATCTATAACTATATGTTGCAGTCCTCCAGTGATACCTCTGCATCTATAACTATATGTTGCAGCCCTCCAATGATACCTCTGCATCTATAACTATATGTTGCAGCCATCCAATGATACCTCTGCATCTATAACTATATGTTGCAGCCATCCAATGATACCTCTGCATCTATAACTATATGTTGCAGCCATCCAATTAGACCTCCGCATCTATAACTATATGTTGCAGCCATCCAGTGAGACCTCTGCATCTTTAACTATATGTTGCAGCCATCCAATTAGACCTCCGCATCTATAACTATATGTTGCAGCCATCCAGTGAGACCTCTGCATCTTTAACTATATGTTGCAGCCATCCAATTAGACCTCCGCATCTATAACTATATGTTGCAGCCATCCAGTGAGACCTCTGCATCTTTAACTATATGTTGCAGCCATCCAATTAGACCTCCGCATCTATAACTATATGTTGCAGCCATCCAGTGAGACCTCTGCATCTATAACTAAAAGTTGTAGGCTCCTTGCAATATTTCAACATCCATTAGGACTGCGTCGTATGAACTTTAACTGAATATGTTTAACTCAGTAATTGAATGTCAGATTGGTTTAACACTGCTTTGAACAGTAACTCAGCCATACAATGGCCTGTCAACTTAATGTGGAGGTAAGCCTAAAGGGATGCAGGTCCGAAATGTTTTACCACTTTGGCGAAACCCACGATCATGGAAATGGTGCCGACAAACCTAGAAACATAATAATAATAAATCTGTAATTCAAACCCACAGTCATAGATATCTTGCATGCCAAAGAGATGCCACTCTACACAGGGAACTGCTGCAATTAAGACAATTGGATCACCTGTGCCCAAGGCTTGCAGGACACACTGGGTACTTTGATGAGTGGGTGAGGTGAAACAGGGTTTAACGTCCTGTGCAAAATTATTGCACTTATATAGTGATGTGCATGCACAGGTGTGTGTGGCTGCTTGTATTAGTCTGGACTGATGCCGATTTTTTAGTGCTGGCTCACTGGGACACCATGCAGCTGTTTAACATGAATACCCCACTCAGACACAGTATACTGACCCTGAGCTGAGCCTGAACCCCGGATCTTCCGCTCTCTGGGCGGACACTCTACAACTAGACCACAAGATCGTTGAGTACCGTAAATGCATCATAACATTTATCAATAATGATCCCACTACAATTCCTAGTATTACACAACCTGCTGTGTAAGTAACGCACATGTTCCTTGGCATCGGCCATCTTGTCGAGAGTGGTTGCTACCTCCCCCACTTCGGACACCACCTGCCGCTTGAGCTGGTCCACCTCTGCCAGCAACTGCCTCCGCTCCACCTCCACACGGTGCAGACGCTGTGTGAAGTCCACGATGTGGTGTTGCAGGGCAATCATCAAATCCTGAGGAAAGAAGTGTCAACATTACACACTTATTGAGGTCACCGGTTGTCACATGAATGCAACACCTATATAACAAGTGTCATCAGGTTCCAGACTGTACCCTTCATCCTATGTGCTGTCTCACGTGCAGCGTGTAAACAGGGACATGAACACTTACAATCCAAAACTTTAGTTTATTCAATTCAGAAAAACTATTTCACAACTAATAAAACAGTCTAATAATATGTCTAATTTTCATTCACAAGTTATACTTGTCCAGGTGTGTTTCTGAGGGCTAATAAATCTGTATACATTAACTTGTATTGACTTGAAACCACACCGCCTCCACTCGTCACCTCCAACTTGTCCACAGCTCATTTCAGTCCAGTGCAGGCCGCAAAGTTACGACTAAAACGGTCGATGATGCGACCTAAATTTTGATTTGTGTACTGTCTGAAATTCAGACGTAGCCAAATGACTACCTTGAAAAATATCTTGTGGCAACTAAATTCTGTTGCTACACATATGAAGACACAAAAATAAATAACAGCTGATCTTGAAAAACATGTCTGCTAATAATTGTACTTGTAAATATTCCTCCTTAACTCGACAATGAACTGAAATACATAAATATTAATGTATTAAGTATTTTATTTTAGTTGACCATGCTCATTGGATAAGCAAGGATATACCTATATAATCGAAAACATAAATTGCATCATTGTTCGAGTCACCAATAACAAAAATCAAGTACAGTTTCCATTAATATACAATTCCAAAACTAGTGCAATGACTTGTACATATTAAATTGGTTATTTGAAAAAACATAATTTCAAATGCTTTTGGATACCTACAATATTGGCTTCACTTATTGATTTTACCACTGGCTACCTGGAAAAAAATACTTGTAGCCATATTGCTACTAGGTAAAAGTTTAAACTTTGAGGCCTGTAGTGGTATGTGTAAAATAACTAGATTCAGGGAGAAAACAACAAACCCTCCAGATTTTCACAAGTCTTTGACTAGTGTCTGTGTCTAATCCTGGCAAGCTAACCTGTGTAAATGTTTTAGGAGCTGACAGTGAAATGTCAAACCTAACACAATATAATAAGTCAAACAAATTCTTTTAAGAACTGATATCTCAGAAAATACGAGTTCTGCTGGCTGTGAGAGTTAAATGACGCTAAGTACCTGCGATGAGGCAAGTGTTTGTTTCTTTGCCACAGGAAGTCCACTTAGCGTGCGTGAGAGACATCGACCAAGTCCTCGCACCAGGGATGTTCGTTCTCGCAGGGCAGACATTGGCTGCAGGCTGATCCCGGGGAACTGGACACCCAGCTTGTCCAACAGCTTACTGAAGGAGCTCCTTGCTGCACCAATCAGGGCCCTCGTTTCAACAGCCCCACCTGTAATACATCACACAGACATGGGGCTAATTCATCCTTCACTCAATCACCTGCAGAAGAACCCCCCACAGACATGGGCCAATCTTACAATATTATACATTCCAATCAATTCCATCTAATACGATAAAGCAACAGGACCATGTGTGCATGCATGTATAATGAGATACCCGATGTGGATCCAAGTTGTTGAAAATAATGTTGTTACAACTGAGTAATGTAACAAATTTCTCTGTGGAAGGTAAATCATTAAAATGGGGGACAAGATAAGAATTTAAATTGAGCATATCAATATGAAGATCATGATATATAATGTGGTCTGTGCCCTGCTGTATCGCCATCAAGGCTTCAACCTATGGCTGCCAGCTTTAGTACACATCTAACAATATCATGGCATGGTGACAGGTGTGGGCCTCTCACTCAGCATGCTCATCATCTGCAACCTACAGCCGTACCTACAGCAGGGCTGCACATACCCAGCCCTTGAGTGCGTCAGTCAGTTTGATTTTACAACACTTTTAGCAATATTCCAGCAACATCACAGTGGGGAACATCAGAAATGGGCTTCACACATTAACCTATGTGGGGAATGGAACCAGGGTCTTCAGCGAGAAAACACTTTAACCACTGGGCTAGCCAGCCCTTGATGTTCTTCTGAACTCCATGTGAATTCAAAGTAAAACTCTCAATATCCTCACTCCGACACATTTATTGTTTTCAACTACTCCAGACACACACCTGAGAGAGTTTCGATGAACTTACCTTTCTCCTTGACCTGTCCAGCGACTTCAAGAAAGTCTGACATCGCTGGAACTACCAGGTCTGTGATGGCATTGCCAGTCATCCAGTTCAGTAGGTGACTCTCCCCTGGCCGGGTGACCTCCCCTTCATCACCCTCATCTTCCTCAGCGGCAGGCAGACCGACACCTGGTAATATCACAATGTCAGTATCAAACTCTGCATCAGTTTTGAAATTATTGTTGTTATATTTACACAGCAACAAGCATCTGGAACAAGTGAGTAAGTATGGTTTTACGCAACTATTAGCAATATTCCAGCAATATCATGGTGGGTGGCACCAGAATGAGCTTCACACATTGTCCCCATGTCAGGAATCGAACCCGGGTCTTCGGCATGATGGATGAATGCTTTAACCACTAGGCTACCCCACCAACCCTGCTTCTGGAACAAGGTGAGGGTTTAACATCATGTTCAAGATTATTCCACTCATATCATGAAGTGCATGCACATGTGAATGTCTGCTTGTACTAGTCCAGAATAATACCTGTTTCATAATGCTAGCCCACTGACCTAACACATTGCAATTTAACATGGCTATCCCACTCACACACAGTATACAGAATCCGTGCCGACCAGTCCTTATTTTAACCTCTTAATGCCAGGGAGGGAAACACAAGTACCATCTTTTAACATCTGCTCTCCGGGCAGATGCTTTATCCACTAGACCACAGAGGTGGTCTACGTGGAACAAACTTATTACCTCTGAATACTCTCCTGGATTGCCTGACGCCTCCGGTACACACCAGCAGTCCATTGCTGCCAGACAACGTATCGTACGTCACAAACATCTTACACGATCCCCGGCCCAGATGACACAGTCTGTTGGCAGCCATCACAGCAATAACACCAGTCCGGAAGCACAAAATTGGAGTTCTTTTCTCTTTTTTCCTGCGATCTCTCTCTGGTTTGTCAGTCTCGGCGTTGAGCTCGGAGTTGAGGACACTGACTAGGTACTGGGCGCGCTCCCGGCAGGTGTCCCACCCAATCATCTGGTCCTCCAGAACACGACGCTCACTAGCCAGCTCGTTAGCCCGTGCGTACAGAGGGTAGAGGGCGCCGGCGAGGAGCGCACAGGCAGAGGACAGAGATGAGATCTGGGTGTCTGCATCATCGAGGTACCTCCGCAGCTCCGAGCACTCCGATTCCAGACCTTGCTGCACGCTGCCCGTAGCTCGGATCTTCTCCCACGCCTGGTCTGCCACAGCTTGGCTTTTCTGTCATGTTGCAATATTTGACATTACAGCAAGATAAACTGAAGGATATATATACGCACCGCCAAAAGAAACACGAACAGCATACAATTTGGTTAATATTTTTAGACTTACTCATATTCAAAAGATATTAGATTGGTTTGAATCACAAACGAACATACTGGTGTGTTGTGTGAACCCGATGCTCATGAACACATCATGTGATGTCATAGATCCATTACTCGAGATGCACAATTTGTCTCTTGCAGGTATGGCATTTGGTCTGGAAATCACGAGTAGCGTATGCCGAAAAGAATAATACTTGCTCTGTGGCAACACTTGACTGATTGTTAGGTTTGTCATTAACTGATGCACATTGGGAACATCTCTTCTTAACATACATATTTCTCTATGTTTCTGATGTTCATGTTTCTTTTGACGGTAAGTGTACTTATGTGTTTCCGATCTCAGACTCTTGCTAAATTTTGATGCCTAGGTATATATTCTGTTGACTTGCCGAGCACCATGTGTCTCCTCTGTTATAACTTAATGATGTGGTCTGTAGTTCACCATAACAAATAAAGAGTGACAAACCTTGCTTTCCACATTTCAAACATATTCAGGTGTGGTGAAATGAGGTTTAACATCACGCTCAAGATTATTGCGCTTGCATGTGCCTGTATGTCTGCTTGTACAAGTCCAGACTAATTCATAGTGCTAGCCCACTGTGATACAATGCCGCAGTTTAACATGAATACCCCACTCAGACACAGTATACCGAGTCCGAGTCTATCAGTCCTTATTTTAGCCCCTTAATGCCGCGTGCCAGACAGGGTGACAACAAGTACCATCTTTAATGTCTTTTGGTATGATGCAGGCGGAGATCGAACCTCCAACCTTCTGCTCTCCAGCCGGACACTCTGCCACTAAACCATGAAGGCGGTCTCAACCATAGTAAGTTGAGGTTGACATTGAGATTATCAAGGGTATTATGTTTCCATTCTATCATGAAAAATATCCCGGTCAAATCTTGCACATTTCCAAAACATAGTTGGTCTGCTTGATGATTTTCAGGCTGCCATGACGTAACTGTGATATTACTGACTGGGACATAAAAACAACACACTGACAGACTAGGAGCTGCAGGCCGACCTTGGAGCGAGACTGGAGGTCCCCGATGAGCTGCGTGTAGTGCTGCTGCAACTCTTCCTTCTGTCTCTGCCATGACGACTCCTGCTCCTTTGTCAGTGATGTCAGTTTGTCCAACTGGTCTTCGTACGACTGCTGCATTGTGCTGATCTTCTCATCTCTTGCTGCCACTGCCTCCTCCATCCCCCGCATCTAACAACACAGCAATCAGTAGGTCATTATGTCTATCAAATACACCCGCAGGGGGCTGATAGTTTAAAGGGTCTGCATCCCCCGCATCTAGCAACACAGCAGCCAGTAGGTCATTATGTCTATCAAATACACCCGCAGTGGGCTGATAGTTTGAAGGGTCTGCATCACCCACATCTAGCAACACAGCAATCAGTAGGTCATTATGTCTATCAAATACACCCGCAGGGGGCTGATAGTTTAAAGGGTCTGCATCCCCCACATCTAGCAACACAGCAATCAGTAGGTCATTATGTCTATCAAATACACCCGCAGTGGGCTGATAGTTTGAAGGGTCTGCATCCCCCCATCTAGCAACACAGCAATCAGTAGGTCATTATGTCTATCAAATACACCCGCAGGGGGCTGATAGTTTGAAGGGTCTGCATCCCCCCATCTAACAACACAGCAATCAGTAGGTCATTATGTCTATCAAATACACCCGCAGTGGGCTGATAGTTTGAAGGGTCTGCATCCCCCCATCTAGCAACACAGCAATCAGTAGGTCATTATGTCTATCAAATACACCCGCAGTGTGGCTGATAGTTTGAAGGGTCTGCATCCCCCCATCTAGCAACACAGCAATCAGTAGGTCATTATGTCTATCAAACACACCCGCAGTGGGCTGATAGTTTGAAGGGTCTGCATCCCCCCATCTAGCAACACAGCAATCAGTAGGTCATTATGTCTATCAAATACACCCGCAGTGTGGCTGATAGTATGAAGGGTCTGCATCCCCACATCTAACACAGCAATCAGTAGGTCATTATGTCTATCAAATACACCCGCAGTGGGCTGATAGTTTGAAGGGTCTGCATTCCCCGCATCTAGCAACACAGCAATCAGTAGGTCATTATGTCTATCAAATACACCCGCAGTGGGCTGATAGTTTGAAGGGTCTGCATTCCCCGCATCTAGCAACACAGCAATCAGTAGGTCATTATGTCTATCAAATACACCCGCAGTGGGCTGATAGTTTGAAGGGTCTGCATCCCCACATCTAACACAGCAATCAGTAGGTCATTATGTCTATCAAATACACCCGCAGTGGGCTGATAGTTTGAAGGGTCTGCATCCCCCCATCTAGCAACACAGCAATCAGTAGGTCATTATGTCTATCAAATACACCCGCAGTGTGGCTGATAGTTTGAAGGGTCTGCATCCCCCCATCTAACACAGCAATCAGTAGGTCATTATGTCTATCAAATACACCCGCAGTGGGCTGATAGTTTGAAGGGTCTGCATTCCCCGCATCTAGCAACACAGCAATCAGTAGGTCATTATGTCTATCAAATACACCCGCAGTGGGCTGATAGTTTGAAGGGTCTGCATTCCCCGCATCTAGCAACACAGCAATCAGTAGGTCATTATGTCTATCAAATACACCCGCAGTGGGCTGATAGTTTGAAGGGTCTGCATCCCCACATCTAACACAGCAATCAGTAGGTCATTATGTCTATCAAATACACCCGCAGTGTGGCTGATAGTTTGAAGGGTCTGCATCCCCCACAATTAGCAACACAGCAATCAGTAGGTCATTATGTCTATCAAATACACCCGCAGTGGGCTGATAGTTTGAAGGGTCTGCATCCCCCGCATCTAGCAACACAGCAATCAGTAGGTCATTATGTCTATCAAATACACCCGCAGTGTGGCTGATAGTTTGAAGGGTCTGCATCCCCCACATCTAGCAACACAGCAATCAGTAGGTCATTATGTCTATCAAATACACCCGCAGTGGGCTGATAGTTTGAAGGGTCTGCATCCCCCACATCTAGCAACACAGCAATCAGTAGGTCATTATGTCTATCAAATACACCCGCAGTGGGCTGATAGTTTGAAGGGTCTGCATCCCCCACATCTAGCAACACAGCAATCAGTAGGTCATTATGTCTATCAAATACACCCAGAGTGGGCTGATAGTTTGAAGGGTCTGCATCCCCCGCATCTAGCAACACAGCAATGTACTACTTTTCTTTCCTAATCTTAAAGTGAACAGGGAAGAAGTGGCCAATGTATATTTTGATATCGAAATATTTATCACCCATCTTCCACAGGAGATAATGCTTGAGCGAGATCAGTAAAGAAAACGAAATAGGCAGACCATTGTGCTGTCACAAATGACATCTGTAACCTCTCTGCAACTGAAGCTGATTAGATCTAGCTGTAACACTGAAGACACTGATTATTACTGTTTACAAACTGTAACAGTTAATTAAGAATGATTTGGAATGATTAATAAAATCTCACCCTTGTCATTTGACATACAGTAGAACACGGATTTAGCGAACACGGATATAGCGAACAAACGAATACAACGAGCTGTTAAAAAATCCCCGATTTATCTCCATTATAATATCATATAAAATTTACATATATAACGAACTCTCTACAGCGAACTAACGGATACAGCGAACTGATATCTGATCACCAACAAGCCCATCTACCACTAATTAGTGACGTGTATAGCGAACTAAGACATCTCACTCAGTGTCAAGTGTCACTGACAATTGGCTGTATGCAATCAGCAGCGAATCTACACAATGGCGGCGAATCAACACAATCAGCGGTGACGGATCAACCTTGTTCAACTTAAATGAATGTTATGAAATGTTATCAATTGAAGGCTATGAAGTGATCACTGCTAATGCAAGTCAATGCTGCAGTTACGTGTATTGTGTTTTGTTTTATCCAAGTTGGCGGACGTTTCCGAGCGAAACGTATATGACGAACAACGGATATAACGAACTGATTTTTCTGGTTCCTTGTAGTTTGTTATATCCATGTTCTACTGTAAAAGATATCAACACTTGACAAAAGCTGAAACGTTTTTTGGGCCTGTGTTGATATATTTCATATTAAAGGGAACAAGGTTGAAACTCTATGTATACAGAACACTTTTACCAGGAGCAAACATAAGCATGCAATTGTCTGGTTAACATGTACAGCAGCTGTAATCCATAGCAACGAAACCCACAGCCTTAGGATGACAGCAGTCACAGGATGATAGGATTCTGGGCACCATTTCACAAAGCAATTGTAACTAAGATCATAACTCCCATACTTTAACATGTTGTAGTGATACGATCGCTGTGTGAAGGGGGCTCTGAAGGAATATCGGAATGATAATGTGTCTCAATAGTCCATGATCTGACTTTCAAGAGTACCTTTTCATCAGCCTGTTGTAGAGAGTTAATCATGGCCACCACCTGCTGGTACACTGCCTCTGTCAGCTCCGTCCATGACAACTGGTTGAAGCCTTTCTCCCTCGCCGGCACCACGATCCGCCCAGCCAGCAGACGCTGATACAGGCCATGCAGGAACGCCAGCTTCTCCTGAACACAGAGGAACATCATGTAGGACATGCAGAGAATAGGAAGGTAACACATATATATCCCAGCTGCTGAACACAGAGGAACATCATGTAGGACAGGCAGAGAATAGGGAGGTAACACATATATATCCCAGCTGCTGAACACAGAGGAACATCATGTAGGACATGCAGAGAATAGGGAGGTAACACATATATATCCCAGCTGCTGAACACAGAGGAACATCATGTAGGACATGCAGAGAATAGGGAGGTAACACATATATATCCCAGCTGCTGAACACAGAGGAACATCATGTAGGACATGCAGAGAATAGGGAGGTAACACATATATATCCCAGCTGCTGAACACAGAGGAACATCATGTAGGACATGCAGAGAATAGGAAGGTAACACATATATATCCCAGCTGCTGAACACAGAGGAACATCATGTAGGACATGCAGAGAATAGGAAGGTAACACATATATATCCCAGCTGCTGAACAGAGAGGAACATCATGTAGGACATGCAGAGAATAGGGAGGTAACACATATATATCCCAGCTGCTGAACACAGAGGAACATCATGTAGGACAGGCAGAGAATAGGGAGGTAACACATATATATCCCAGCTGCTGAACACAGAGGAACATCATGTAGGACATGCAGAGAATAGGGAGGTAACACATATATATATCCCAGCTGCTGAACACAGAGGAACATCATGTAGGACATGCAGAGAATAGGAAGGTAACACATATATATCCCAGCTGCTGAACAAAGAGGAATGTCATGTAGGACATGCAGAGAATAGGGAGGTAACACATATATATCCCAGCTGCTGAACACAGAGGAACATCATGTAGGACATGCAGAGAATAGGGAGGTAACACATATATATCCCAGCTGCTGAACAGAGAGGAACATCATGTAGGACATGCAGAGAATAGGAAGGTACCACATATATATCCCAGCTGCTGAACACAGAGGAACATCATGTAGGACAGGCAGAGAATAGGGAGGTAACACATATATATCCCAGCTGCTGAACACAGAGGAACATCATGTAGGACAGGCAGAGAATAGGGAGGTAACACATATATATCCCAGCTGCTGAACACAGAGGAATGTCATGTAGGACAGGCAGAGAATAGGGAGGTAACACATATATATCCCAGCTGCTGAACACAGAGGAACATCATGTAGGACATGCAGAGAATAGGAAGGTAACACATATATATCCCAGCTGCTGAACACAGAGGAACATCATGTAGGACAGGCAGAGAATAGGGAGGTAACACATATATATCCCAGCTGCTGAACACAGAGGAACATCATGTAGGACAGGCAGAGAATAGGGAGGTAACACATATATATCCCAGCTGCTGAACACAGAGGAACATCATGTAGGACATGCAGAGAATAGGGAGGTAACACATATATATCCCAGCTGCTGAACACAGAGGAACATCATGTAGGACATGCAGAGAATAGGGAGGTAACACATATATATATCCCAGCTGCTGAACACAGAGGAACATCATGTAGGACAGGCAGAGAATAGGGAGGTAACACATATATATCCCAGCTGCTGAACAGAGAGGAACATCATGTAGGACAGGCAGAGAATAGGGAGGTAACACATATATATCCCAGCTGCTGAACACAGAGGAATGTCATGTAGGACAGGCAGAGAATAGGGAGGTAACACATATATATCCCAGCTGCTGAACACAGAGGAACATCATGTAGGACATGCAGAGAATAGGAAGGTAACACATATATATCCCAGCTGCTGAACAAAGAGGAATGTCATGTAGGACATGCAGAGAATAGGGAGGTAACACATATATATCCCAGCTGCTGAACACAGAGGAACATCATGTAGGACATGCAGAGAATAGGGAGGTAACACATATATATCCCAGCTGCTGAACAAAGAGGAATGTCATGTAGGACAGGCAGAGAATAGGGAGGTAACACATATATATCCCAGCTGCTGAACACAGAGGAACATCATGTAGGACATGCAGAGAATAGGAAGGTACCACATATATATCCCAGCTGCTGAACAGAGAGGAACATCATGTAGGACAGGCAGAGAATAGGAAGGTAACACATATATATCCCAGCTGCTGAACACAGAGGAATGTCATGTAGGACATGCAGAGAATAGGAAGGTAACACATATATTTCAAACCTGCTGAACACAGAGTTCACATAACAAAACATTTCTAACATGGTTATGGTAAAACAACATATATAAAACCTATGTTCCTTATATTAGTGACCACATTTCAAGAATATGACATCGGATGAAAATATGTGAAGGGAGCAAACATCAAGGGCAAGGCAAGCCTGTGAGTGATAACATGAGCAACGCTTCACACAGTGAGGGTACGATGGTCCTGCTCACGGACTTGGTTAATGCATGTCATCCTATGCCATATGCGTAGATCGATGCTCATTATATCAATCACTGGATTGTCTGGTCCAGACTCAATTATTTAAAGTGAGTAAGTGAGTTAGGTTTAACGTCATTTTTAACAGTATTCCAGTTATATCACATCGTGTCAGCTTAATGTGGGAGGAAAGCCCGAAGAGATGCAGGTCTCAGACGTTGACCACTTCGGTGAAACCCACCGGAAACGGGTTTGGTGCTGACAAAGCTAGAAATATAATTGGGGCGAACCAGGATTCGAACCCATAATTATAGGCTTCTGGTGTGCCCAAGGGACGCAACTCTGCAAAGCGAAATCGCGGCGCCTTGGACGACTGGGCCATCCGTGCCTCCTGATTATTTACTGACTGCCATCATATAGCTGGAATATTGCTGAGGGCGGCGTTAAAAAACAAACAAACAAAATGACACAGTCAGCCAGGTGATGTACTGTAACCATATCCTCAGTTTCGCCATCTCGGCCGGGAACCCAAACATCGATCAGCATAAGCAAACACATCTCGTGATGGAACTCTGGACATGTTACATGTTAGTAGGAGTGGTGAGAGGTGAACTTATACAGGTAATGTCCACAAGTACTGACACGCTACTGTCAGGGAACATGCAGCTACTGTACTCAGAGCTACAGATAGCTGCGTATTTGCGTAAAATATCCCCTCAAATATTCAAAACCCCATTATTTTAAATTAACTGGAGTATAGAAACGCATGCATTTAATGAAAAACTCATATGTATAAAAACAGCACACTTAAATTACCAGTGAAGCTTTTTCAGCATGCGTACAAAGGAGCTAATTACCAAAACACAATTACAAGCTAATTTACTTTCTGAGTCGATCATTTATATTTAGAACTGTTATATAAAACATCTAAAACATTATTTCACTTTTTGTAAATATTAAAATGTTCACTCATTTTGGGAAAAACCCAATAGAGTGATGAAAAGATGAGTGCAAAAATATTGGTCACCCAATGAAAAATGTAATAAACTCAATTAAAATAGAAACCTTTGAGTAAAAACTTAATAGCTCAAAAAGGTTATCTGGAGCTTAGTGTACTGGAGAAAGTCTTGCAAATGATGTAAAACAATCTTCAACTTGAACCAACTACAGCAGTCAAGCATTGATTCAATTCTCTTGTTATTTCTGTCGTGTTCTTTACTAAAACAAATCCCCCCCTCTACAGTGCCTGCATCTCATGGACGTTACCAGTGTCTGTAAACTGGCAGTGTTAATACGGAGTGTACCCTTCAGGGGATATGCAACCAACACATGGGCACTGTTCTGCAAGGCAACTTCAGCGCAATGCCTGTCATGATTCCCATACTTCACCACAGACTCGTGTCATCACAGAGCTAGAGTTGCTTTGCAGAACGGAGCCTTGGTGTGAAACAAAACCATGCCGTGTTAGCACCAGCCCCCATCACTGCACGCCACTCCCCCTCTCCCTGCCCCTCCCACCTGCTGCAAGGGGGGTGTCCAGGAGGGGGGGAGGGCCATGAATTCCCCCTCCCCCTCACATACCTCGTCCTCTGCCCGGTGTCGCTTAACTAGTTTCATTATCTGAAACACAAAGAAAATGCTGACAATATTCACATCTGAAACACAAGAACACACATACTGCGTTTACAACATCCACAACATAAGATAAGACATAATACATTCTAATTTATTTTTTTATTTCAATTTTATTTTCATTGAAGTGGTCAGTAAAAAATCACTATATTGATATTTCATTGATAATCATACATAACTTCGAAACACTTGTTTGACACAATTTACTTAATTTGCAAACAAAACTCCATCAAGATACAGATTCAAGCAAATCTACTTCTCCTGATACACATGCCCTATATTCCTTTACATCAGTTTCCTGGTACAAGGATTTATAACACAAAGAGACCTGTCACAGGCTGCTTTTCTGCTACCACCTTGTGACAGATCAGAGTATGGAGACTTGTAGCAGTTAACCAACTTGTGACAGATCAGAGTATGGAGACTTGTAGCAGTTAACCAACTTGTGACAGATCAGAGTATGGAGACTTGTAGCAGTTAACAAACTTGTGACAGATCAGAGTATGGAGACTTGTCGCAGGTAACCAACTTGTGACAGATCAGAGTATGGGGACTTGTAGCAGTTAACCAACTTGTGACAGATCAGAGTATGGAGACTTGTCGCAGGTAACCAACTTGTGACAGATCAGAGTATGGGGACTTGTAGCAGGTAACCAACTTGTGACAGATCAGAGTATGGAGACTTGTAGCAGGTAACCAACTTGTGACAGATCAGAGTATGGAGACTTGTAGCTGGTAACCAACTTGTGACAGATCAGATTATGGAGACTTGTAGCAGGTAACCAACTTGTGACAGATCAGAGTATGGAGACTTGTAGCAGGTAACCATCTTGTGACAGATCAGAGTATGGAGACTTGTAGCAGGTAACCAACTTGTGACGGATCAGAGTATGGAGACTTGTAGCAGGTAACCAACTTGTGACAGATCAGAGTATGGAGACTTGTAGCAGGTAACCAACTTGTGACAGATCAGAGTATGGAGACTTGTCGCAGGTAACCAACTTGTGACAGATCAGAGTATGGGGACTTGTAGCAGGTAACCAACTTGTGACAGATCAGAGTATAGAGACTTGTAGCAGGTAACCAACTTGTGACGGATCAGAGTATGACGACTTGTAGCAGGTAACCAACTTATGACAGATCAGAGTATGGAGACATGTAGCAGGTAACCAACTTGTGACAGATCAGAGTATGGAGACTTGTAGCAGGTAACCAACTTGTGACAGATCAGAGTATGGAGACTTGTAGCAGGTAACCAACTTGTGACAGATCAGAGTATGGAGACTTGTAGCAGGTAACCAACTTGTGACAGATCAGAGTATGGAGACTTGTAGCAGGTAACCAACTTGTGACAGATCAGAGTATAGAGACTTGTAGCAGGTAACCAACTTGTGACAGATCAGAGTATAGAGACTTGTAGCAGGTAACCAACTTGTGACAGATCAGAGTATAGAGACTTGTAGCAGGTAACCAACTTGTGACAGATCAGAGTATGGAGACTTGTAGCAGGTAACCAACTTGTGACAGATCAGAGTATGGAGACGTGTAGCAGGTAACCAACTTGTGACAGATCAGAGTATAGAGACTTGTAGCAGGTAACCAACTTGTGACAGATCAGGGTATAGAGACTTGTAGCAGGTAACCAACTTGTGACAGATCAGAGTATAGAGACTTGTAGCAGGTAACCAACTTATGACAGATCAGAGTATGGAGACGTGTAGCAGGTAACCAACTTGTGACAGATCAGAGTATAGAGACTTGTAGCAGGTAACCAACTTGTGACAGATCAGGGTATAGAGACTTGTAGCAGGTAACCAACTTGTGACAGATCAGAGTAGAGAGACTTGCAGCAGGTAACCAACTTGTGACAGATCAGAGTATGGAGACTTGTAGCAGGTAACCAACTTGTGACAGATCAGAGTATGGAGACTTGTAGCAGGTAACCAACTTGTGACAGATCAGAGTATGGAGACTTGCAGACTTCTATCCAGCCATCCAACAGGGGGAACATATATTAGCATCTATTTAAGTATATGTTCTATCTACACTGATATGGAAACCAGAGCCTTCAGCAGAGATGTTACCAGTGTGAGCAGTGTGTGGTGGTGTTACCACAGCAGTAGGGATCTAACATTCCAGGCACTTTGACATCGACGTGCCGAACAGATGGTTACATGACAGAAGACACTTTAATATAGCCACTGTTGGAATACTAGTTAATTGGATGAATTGAAAATATCTCACATGCTTTTTCTTTGCAGACTTGAAACAAAAAAGAGAAATTTAAATATATGTCTCACAAATGGTGATATACCAACCTCCTGCTGGGACAGTTACTACATGTATGTTTCTTGTGTAAATCAGTGTGTACCTAACTCCTCAAGGAAGCCAATGTGTACCTACCTCCTCCTAGAATCCTGGAGGTCAGTGTGTACCTATCTCCTCCTGGAAGTCAGTGTGTTCCTACCTCCTCCTGGAAGTCAGTGTGTACCTACCTCCTCCTGGAAGTCAGTGTGTTCCTACCTCCTCCTGGAAGTCAATGTGTTCCTACCTCCTCCTGGAAGTCAGTGTGTTCCTACCTCCTCCTGGAAGTCAATGTGTACCTACCTCCTCCTGGAAGTCAATGTGTACCTACCTCCTCCTAGAGTCCTGGAGGTCAGTGTGTACCTACCTCCTCCTGGAAGTCAATGTGTTCCTACCTCCTCCTGGAAGTCAATGTGTACCTACCTCCTCCTGGAAGTCAATGTGTACCTACCTCCTCCTAGAGTCCTGGAAGTCAGAGTGTACCTATCTCCTTCTGGAAGTCAGTGTGTTCCTACCTCCTCCTGGAAGTCAATGTGTACCTACCTCCTCCTGGAAGTCAATGTGTACCTACCTCCTCCTAGAGTCCTGGAGGTCAGTGTGTACCTACCTCCTCCTGGAAGTCAGTGTGTTCCTACCTCCTCCTGGAAGTCAATATGTACCTACCTCCTCCTGGAAGTCAGTGTGTTCCTACCTCCTCCTGGAAGTCAATGTGTACCTATCTCCTCCTGGAAGTCAGTGTGTACCTATCTCCTCCTGGAAGTCAGTGTGTACCTACCTCCTCCTGGAAGTCAATGTGTACCTACCTTCTCCTAGAGTCCTGGAGGTCAGTGTGTACCTACCTCCTCCTGGAAGTCAATGTGTTCCTACCTCCTCCTGGAAGTCAATGTGTACCTACCTCCTCCTGGAAGTCAATGTGTACCTACCTCCTCCTAGAGTCCTGGAGGTCAGTGTGTACCTACCTCCTCCTGGAAGTCAATGTGTTCCTACCTCCTCCTGGAAGTCAATATGTACCTATCTCCTCCTGGAAGTCAATATGTACCTACCTCCTCCTGGAAGTCAATGTGTACCTATCTCCTCCTGGAAGTCAGTGTGTACCTATCTCCTCCTGGAAGTCAGTGTGTTCCTACCTCCTCCTGGAAGTCAGTGTGTACCTATCTCCTCCTGGAGGTCAGTGTGTACCTACCTCCTCCTGGAAGTCAGTGTGTACCTATCTCCTCCTGGAAGTCAGTGTGTACCTACCTCCTCATGGAGCCCAGGAAGTCAGTGTGTACCTACCTCCTCCTGGAAGTCAATATGTACCTATCTCCTCCTGGAAGTCAGTGTGTACCTACCTCCTCCTGGAAGTCAATATGTACCTATCTCCTCCTGGAAGTCATTGTGTTCCTACCTCCTCCTGGAAGTCAGTGTGTTCCTATCTCCTCCTGGAAGTCAGTATGTACCTACCTCCTCCTGGAAGTCAATGTGTTCCTACCTCCTCCTGGAAGTCAATGTGTTCCTACCTCCTCCTGGAAGTCAATATGTACCTACCTCCTCCTGGAAGTCAATGTGTTCCTACCTCCTCCTGGAAGTCAATATGTTCCTACCTCCTCCTGGAAGTCAATGTGTACCTATCTCCTCCTGGAAGTCAATATGTACCTACCTCCTCCAGGAAGTCAATGTGTACCTATCTCCTCTTGGAAGTCAGTGTGTACCTATCTCCTCCTGGAAGTCAGTGTGTACCTATCTCCTCCTTGAGCCCTGGAAGTCAGTGTGTACCTATCTCCTCCTGGAAGTCAATATGTACCTACCTCCTCATAGAGCCCTGGAAGTCAGTGTGTACCTACCTCCTCCTGGAAGTCAATGTGTACCTACCTCCTCCTGGAAGTCAATGTGTACCTATCTCCTCCTGGAAGTCAGTGTGTACCTACCTCCTCCTGGAAGTCAGTGTGTACCTATCTCCTCCTGGAAGTCAGTGTGTACCTATCTCCTCCTGGAAGTCAGTGTGTACCTATCTCCTTCTGGAAGTCAGTGTGTACCTACCTCCTCCTTGAAGTCAATGTGTACCTATCTCCTCCTGGAAGTCAGTGTGTACCTATCTCCTCCTGGAAGTCAGTGTGTACCTACCTCCTCAGAGAGTCCTTGTATCCGAGTACGGTCTTTATCCTGATTGGAGTTGGTACTGTGCAGGTCTATTTTGGTCCTGGTGAGAATCCCCTCCAGCTCACTGGATTCAGCACGTACACGGCTCAGCTCCTTCGCAGTGCGGGTGTAGTTCTTCTGGGCGTCCTGCAGAAACACACACATATGGCAACTAATAACGCACGTACACAGACTCAACCTTCTCCCTGGGGGTAATACAGCAAGAAGGTGAGGGGAATCAATAAGGTCGGTCTTCATATCACTGTGGGCATTATTACTACTGTTCCTCTGCATTGAGCTAGTACAGTCAACTAACGTCAAACTTACCCATACTATACACATAAGAAGTATCCCTAGACCAGAAACGCCCAGATCTTGGGATTCCAGATTTCACAAGCATATGAAAGGACATATTTCCCCTGATACACAGTTTCTATACCATGAAAACTATACACACAGTGTCAATAACATACCATATTTCCTCTAGGAAGAAAATCGACCTGTATGTACATGATTAACAGTATATTTTTTACGTTGACAATTAAAAGAGCTGCTTCCTAACATATGAAAAATGGATTAACTTTAGAAGCCTGTAAAATACTGTGTGATACAGGTCCTGTGTGTGAATGGTAGCCCGTGAGATACTGGACCTGTGTGTGAAGGGTAGCCCGTGAGATACTGGACCTGTGTGTAAAGGGTAGTCTGTGAGATACTGGACCTGTGTGTAAAGGGTAGTCTGTGAGATACTGGACCTGTGTGTAAAGGGTAGTCTGTGAGATACTGGACCTGTGTGTGAAGGGTAGCCTGTGAGATACTGGACCTGTGTGTAAAGGGTAGTCTGTGAGATACTGGACCTGTGTGTAAAGGGTAGTCTGTGAGATACTGGACCTGTGTGTAAAGGGTAGTCTGTGAGATACTGGACCTGCGTGTGAAGGGTAGTCTGTGAGATACTGGACCTGTGTGTGAAGGGTAGTCTGTGAGATACTGGACCTGTGTGTGAAGTGTAGTCTGTGAGATACTGGACCTGTGTGTGAAGGGTAGCCTGTGAGATACTGGACCTGTGTGTGAAGGGTAGCCTGTGAGATACTGGACCTGTGTGTGAAGGGTAGCCTGTGAGATACTGGACCTGTGTGTAAAGGGTAGCCTGTGAGATACTGGACCTGTGTGTGAAGGGTAGTCTGTGAGATACTGGACCTGTGTGTAAAGGGTAGTCTGTGAGATACTGGACCTGTGTGTAAAGGGTAGCCTGTGAGATACTGGACCTGTGTGTGAAGGGTAGTCTGTGAGATACTGGACCTGCGTGTGAAGGGTAGTCTGTGAGATACTGGACCTGTGTGTGAAGGGTAGCCTGTGAGATACTGGACCTGTGTGTGAAGGGTAGCCTGTGAGATACTGGACCTGTGTGTAAAGGGTAGTCTGTGAGATACTGGACCTGTGTGTGAAGGGTAGCCTGTGAGATACTGGACCTGTGTGTGAAGGGTAGCCTGTGAGATACTGGACCTGTGTGTAAGGGTAGCCTGTGAGATACTGGACCTGTGTGTAAAGGGTAGCCTGTGAGATACTGGACCTGTGTGTAAGGGGTAGCTTGTCAGATTCTGGACCTTTGTGTGAATGGTGGCCTACAAGTGTTACACGAGAGAGAGGTACAGCTGGACAACTACCTCCAGAGCTTTATCCTTGGCCTGCACCATGTCCCGATACGTGTCCACTTCCTTTGACAGTTTGTCCCCAGTCTTTTTACATTTAGACAACTGAGGGAAAGATAGTCACATAGAAAACTCAAATCAAACAAAATAAGAAAAACTGAAGAAAAATATTTGGTTCCCAGCAATGTGGCATAGGTTTCTGAGGATGTGACTCTTATGTGAGTCTTTTCTTGAGGATAAAGATGCATGATAAATACAATGTATTTACTTATGCTTACCATTGATTAGAACCAAGAACTTTCCTCCATGTGAACACGCTAAACACTCAGTGCCATCAGAAATACAAGTGTTGAGAGAATCCATCAACAAGATCATCTACCGTTAATACCTGAATTAGACTTTGTCCTGAAAAGATGCACACTATGGTTGTACCCTGAAGAAGAAAACCTATATAGTTGAGGCTTGAGCGTCTCCACAAGTATAATCTTAATATCTATCATATATATCCAAATGGAACAATTTTACACAAGTAAAAATTGATGTGAGATGTTTATGTACAACTGCGGTGCAATTCTGTGACGTACCTCTTCACACGTGGTGTCCAACTTGGTCTTGGAATCATGGAGCAGGCGCCGCAGTGTCTCAAGCAGGGCAGATGGACTCGGCAGTTTCTTGGCCTTCCCTTCATCTTTCCTCACACCTTCAACATGTAGCATCCACTGACTGGCAGTGATCTAAATCTCCATGACATCCTACTTCTCTGTGAGGTGAGGTAAAATGGGGCTTAACGTTGAATCCAAGATTATTGCACTTATATAGTGACATGTACGGACTAATATCATGCATCAGTTTAACATGAATACTCCACTCAGACACAGTATACTGTCTCCAGGACCACCAGTCCTTGTTCAGGCCCCTTGATGCTGCGCGCCAGGCAGAATAATAAGAAGTACCATCTTTTAATGTGTGTTGGTATGACTCGGCCGAGGATCAAACCCCGGACCTTCTGCTCTCCAGGTGGAGGCTTTACCACAAGGCCACAGAGGCCGTCCTCCTACTTTTCCCAGGTGTCTGGCTTCACAAACTAGTGTCAATTGCAGAAAGGCAACATCTGCATGGAAAGGCAGCCCAATAACCAGCAGACTTGTTTGAGGTGATGTCCTTTATTTAGATTATATAATGATCAAGGTTCAAATGCTGAAAGATCCTTTCATGAGACTAAAGCCAGGGATTTATCTAGGATTCCAAACTAAGTGCCTGACACTTCTTTTCAAAATTATTATTTTCCACTGCATTTTAACATTGCAATCAATGCAATAATATAAAACAAATGGCCTCTACAAGACCATGTATGACTATAGTAGCATGAATTGGGAAATGTTTGATTTATACTTAGGAAGTAATACTGACATTTGCTGCAGATTTGGGGCTGAATATCAGCCTCTGAGGAGGTCTTAACCGTTAGCCTGCTGAATTATTTTCACACTTCTTACCCTGCCTGCTGGATTAATTTTAGCATAAGGCGCTCTAAAGAGGGTGGGTAATTTCAAACAGTCGGTGCCTCATTAAACAAGGGCCAATTGAAGAAATATTTTGCACATTTATTCCTGATAGAAAACTACACAATACTATATAAAAATATCCAAGTGTTTTCAATCATTCCAAGGTTAAGACCAAAGCGTACACAAAATTTGTAAATTTTCTTGAACTTACCTGAATTGCGTAATTGAATGTGGTTTGCATTTCATGCTAGGAACCTTTTAATATCGTAACATTTGTGCAAATTGATTTCAATAATCATACCTCTGATATGTTAATTTTAATTGAGTAAAAATTCGGGTATTTTTTTTCGGCATATAATTTTCGAGGTCATCATGTCAGTAGCAGAAATACGAATATTCAGGTTAATCTGACGTGTCATGTTATAAAATTTGCAGGAAACAATTAATGACTTATAAATATTCACTAATCCTAATTTCAAGCGTTTTGGTTGAATATTTACGATATACAAAAATAAACAACCCGTGTCATGATGCTAGCAGACGTCCCAAACTCAAACATGGCGCGCTTCGCCCAACCTCCGCATAACTTATTGCTATTTTAATATCAACAAAGCTTACATTGCCTTTATAAAAGGAAAGTTGATGATCTTCTCCATCGAAGAATGTTTTATTCGTCATATTCCGATTAATATGACGAGAGAAAAACGAAAATAAAGATCGTGAATTCTGACAGCACTATTTCAATAACTGCAAAGGTCTTTGCATCAGCACAGTGTAACTGATCAAACTTCAATTATTATCTTTAGTTTAAACATATTTTTTCAACAATTAGTATCCTTCACTCTGAAAATCAACTATGTGAATAAGTAACTCTCTGATGTCATCATTTTAATTTTAGTATTCCATGAATAATGAATAAATCAGATCCTTAACATATATACATACATGTACTTAACTCATATGGACATTAATCTTGTGCATTATGTGTTTTGTTTCCAAATAAAACAATTCTGAAATATAATTTAATAGGAATATGATACATTAATTACAGTAACAGTACCTGTAACAGTACATGACATTTTTGTTTGTTTAATCACAAGAACCATGGTGGCACATAAGCTGGTAAGCTAGCCATATGTTTCTTAGAAAATGCTATCTCAGTCTTCTGGTTGGAATGAAAAGAAACATGCCTGTGTACATGTTTACCCTTGCCAGATGTATTTTTTCCAGTCAGCCAATCCATTTCTTTTGTTCACCTTATGTGGTCTATTTTATACATACAGGTACTGCTTCCAACCTGTTTTTCCTTTGTATGCAATCACAGTATCACAACTTCCTCAGCTGGTGTGTATAAAAGTTCCCCTGTCATCATGAAAAAAAATTATAAAGGAAAGTCATGTTTTCATTCAAAAACATATCTTTTTCATTGAATACTCTTTGTCTAAGTGCCAGAAATGTCAGTGTCATAAAAAAAAATAAAAAAAGATTTTCATAAGGACTTTTCTTAGATAGATCTAAGTCAAACCATGTGACAAGTTAGGTAGAATTATAACTTGATAAGCCCTCATTTCTGTGGTGTCCATATTTTTCACATTTTTATATATTTTTATGACAAAACGTGATCCATGTAGATCTGCCTGTTTTGTTATGTAAAACAAATTCTTGTCTTATAATGAGAAAAGGAATCATTCAGACAAAAAAATTTTATCCCATTGATTTACGAAAACCAGTTGAAATGTACAGTGGTGACAATTGTACCCAAAATTTCTACTGATTTGGTACCCAAATGGGTATGTGATTTTGTAGATCTACCTAGAATTATTTCAAAGATATTCATAAATTTTGGTGTCTTAAACTTAACATAATATCACTTTCCTATCAAAACAATACATTCTAACTTAGGTTTAACCAACTTAACTGGCCTCTTCTTCAGTGACAAGACGTCAATTTCTCTCAAAACTAAACAATCAATTTCAAGGATCACAGTCATCATCATATTATAAACTTGATGAAATATTGTATTATGTGTTCTGTTAATCTACATGAAAACATAAATATAATTATAGATCTATTGTCTTATTTTCTTAGGTACAAATTCACAAAGTATTTTGGGTACAATTTAATTGGTTTTGGGTACAAAATCACATATAGGAGCCTAGAATCTATATATATATTTACGCTACCTCGTCGTGTACCAAAATTTTAATCGGTTCAGAGGACGGGAGGTTCTCAGAAAGTTTTCAACAACATCTTTAATATTTTAAATTGTTCTTTTTTTGTAATGTTAGACCAATAACAACATTATGTTGTTATTATTATGGCATATCAATACGTTATATTGCTCACCATTGCGTTCGTTTTCAGAAAATATTTTAAAATTATAATCATCGAGCGTGAAATCCATTACGGTTTCGGATTTAGACTTACACATTTGATGGCGACAATCACAAAGAAATATGAAACAAATAGGAGTGAAGATCGCTCTCCAGATCAATAAATAGTAAATAGTTGACGAAAAATAGTAAATCATGTATTTTCTTTTGAATTTGAATCTATTTCGGAATTTCTTTATGATAGCTTACCAACTTTTGCTTATTTGGCTTCCATGTGTCATATGCGGTACGTGCTTCCGGTTTCAGAAATGATAGCTAAAATTGCAAGTATTTTGATTATTTCTCGTAAACTGCATTATTTTGCTATTGAATGGTTTACCTAGAATGTGTATCAGTTCAGATTTTGAGTATCATCCAATTTTTGTCATTTTTCGCAGTGTTTGTTGACTTTGTTCAACTCAACAAATCGCGAGTTAGGCCATGCCCAAACGTATCACTGACGTTTGTCGGCTTGTCAATGTGTCCGAAAGTTTATCAAACGAAATCATTTGCAAACTCTTTAAAAAAAATTTTTTTTTTACAAAGATTTATACATACGTGTCAATAATTCTAGAAAATTAAGTTAGATGTAACAAAATTATTGTAATAGTCTAACGGGATAACTATGCATGTGGAGTTGTTTGTTTACCGCCGTTGCCATGATCGTACAAGTTCCATCCAATCGATGATGTTACGATTCAGATTGTTTTTGTTTACAATTAGTTACACCGAAAGTTGCTAATTTTTAGAAATTAAGGAATATGAGTGTTTTCCTTTCGTCAGCAAACAAAAATTTATGATTGAATAGGAAAAATGATGAAATTATGAAGAAAATATCTGACTGCATGCCGCTCAACGTGAAGTGCCAAAAGTCAACAATGGCCGTTTCTGGTAGTTGTGTGCCGAGAAGTTTGGCCGAAACTCTTTTAACTCGCGATATTTCTTTTTGAGGTAAATAAATGACTGAAAGTTTTGATATTGAGCAAGCTGAGCATTTATGCATGTCATACGTAATTTAAATGTTACGCAAAGCCTTCTTGGTAAATAGATATGGCGAGTTTTATTTTGGGGTGTCGTTATGCTATTCGCCTGTCGAATGGGTTCGACATTAGATGCACGGGAAGTGACACCTCTGTCGAATGTGTTCGACGTTAGCGTGCAGAGCTTTAAAATCCCTGAACACAAGGCCGGCCAGACAATAGAGCCATACAATGATGTCAGTCTCACCATTAGCATCATGTTACTGTCAGGGAAGATGGAGCACTGACTGCTTTTGCTGCACCTGCTGGCTCTGGACTTACGTGTGGTCTTCTTGGTCTTGTCTGTGGGTGGAGGGGAGAAGGTGGAGATCAGCATGTCCAGTTCCTTCATACAGCCGCCGTACGTATCCTCCAGGTACACCTGTCGCTTCTTGGCCTGTACAACAAACATGGTACATAACAGGTGCCTTTTCAGTGGAACACATTATAAATGAAATACAGAGGCACACCCCGGAGATCACAAAAGCAATATTCCATGACCTGATGTAAAAGAACTGATGGTTGAAAACCTAGTACTACAACACCTGGTGGTTCAATACCTAGTACTACAACACCTGGTGGTTCTATACCTAGTAGTACAACGCCTGGTGGTTCAATACCTAGTACTACAACACCTGGTGGTTCTATACCTAGTAGTACAACACCTGGTGGTTCAATACCTAGTAGTACAACGTCTGGTGGTTCAATACCTAGTAGTACAACGCCTGGTGGTTCTATACCTAGTACTACAACACCTGGTGGTTCAATACCTAGTAGTACAACACCTTGTGGTTCTGTACCTAGTACAACAACACCTTCTGGTTCAATACCTAGTACTACAACGCCTGGTGGTTCAATACCTAGTACTACAACACCTGGTGGTTCAATACCTAGTAGTACAACACCTGGTGGTTCAATACCTAGTACTACAACACCTGGTGGTTCAATACCTAGTAGTACAACACCTGGTGGTTCAATACCTAGTACTACAACGCCTGGTGGTTCAATACCTAGTAGTACAACACCTGGTGCTTCAATACCTAGTAGTACAACACCTGGTGGTTCAATACCTAGTACTACAACACCTGGTGGTTCTATACCTAGTAGTACAACACCTGGTGGTTCAATACCTAGTACTACAACACCTTGTGGTTCTATACCTAGTAGTACAACACCTGGTGGTTCAATACCTAGTACTACAACACCTTGTGGTTCTATACCTAGTAGTACAACACCTTGTGGTTCTGTAACTAGTACTACAACACCTGGTGGTTCAATACCTAGTACTACAACACCTTGTGGTTCTATACCTAGTACTACAACACCTTGTGGTTCTGTACCTAGTACTACAACACCTGGTGGTTCAATACCTAGTACTACAACACCTTGTGGTTCTATACCTAGTACTACAACACCTGGTGGTTCAATACCTAGTACTACAACACCTGGTGGTTCAATACCTAGTACTACAACACCTGGTGGTTCTGTACCTAGTACTACAACACCTTGTGGTTCTGTACCTAGTACTACAACACCTGGGACACCTGGGACACCTGGGACACCTAGTCCTACCTTGCCAAGCTCCTCCTTCAGCTCGTTGAAGTTCCTCTGGTGCACCTCTAGCTCCTGTGACAGCTGGCCGATCATGTTGGTCTTGTTCTCCACGTCTGTGGTCAGCCTCCTTCGGACACTTGTGTACTCTTTCTCCAACCTGACACACAACCATCCTCTACTGCTGTACAACCATCATCAATTCTGTACAACCATCAACTATGTACAACCATCATCTAATGTGTACCACCATCATCAACTGCTGTACAACCATCATCTACTGTGTACAACCATCATCTAATGTGTACAACCATCATCAATTGTGTACAACCATCAACTATGTACAACCATCATCTAATGTGTACCACCATCATCAACTGCTGTACAACCATCATCTACTGTGTACAACCATCATCTAATGTGTACAACCATCAACTGTGTACAACCATCATATACTGTGTACAACCATCATCTAATGTGTACAACCATCATCAACTGTGTACAACCATCATCTAATGTGTACAACCATCATCAACTGCTGTACAACCATCATCTACTGTGTACAACCATCATCTAATGTGTACAACCATCATCAACTGTGTACAACCATCAACTGTGTACAACCATCATCAACTGTGTACAACCATCATCTAATGTGTACAACTATCATCAACTGTGTACAACCATCATCAACTGCTGTACAACCATCATCAACTGTGTACAACCATCAACTGTGTACAACCATCATCAACTGTGTACAACCATCATCAACTGTGTACAACCATCAACTGTGTACAACCATCATCAACTGCTGTACAACCATCATCTACTGTGTACAACCATCAACTGTGTACAACCATCATCAACTGCTGTACAACCATCAACTGTGTACAACCATCATCAACTGCTGTACAATCATCATCTACTGTGTACAACCATCAACTGTGTACAACCATCATCAACTGTGTACAACCATCATCAACTGTGTACAACCATCATCAACTGCTGTACAACCATCATCTACTGTGTACAACCATCAACTGTGTACAACCATCATCAACTGCTGTACAACCATCATCTACTGTGTACAACCATCAACTGTGTACAACCATCATATACTGTGTAAAACCATCATCAACTGTTAATATAAGTAATACATATATTTTATTCAGACAAAATTTAAAGGAATGATTAGCGAAAACTTATGACGTAGTAGTTATAGTCATACCAGAATATAACCTTATTGGTTTAAATATCTGAGAGTAGATTGTCGTCTTACTTTTCCATCTTGTGTACAGCTTCTTTCTTCACCTTCCTCTCATCGTTGTAGGCCTGCTCAATCTCCCTGCAACATACAGTCAGTCAGTTGCACTCAGTAATATACTCAACAACAAAAGTTCATCCGACACCAATATTTTAGTGTATTTTTCAAACAAGTAAAGTTTGGTTTTCAATATTGTTGTGCATGTATGGAATCAAGTCACAAAAACGCAACTGCTACAGAAAAGCATGCATTCCCTGCAAAAGTTGACTTTTACGCAAGCCCCATGCAATTCACTACCCAAGAATGGGCATAAAAAGATGTGTGTTAACGGGATTCCATATGCATTGTTTAGCATCACGCTCACAACAACCACTCAGAAAAACAACAATATTATGCAATTATTCAACATTACGAAATGCCACGCCCGTCCGAAAATGAGCATCAGCGAGCCATTGGTATGCTTGAAGCAGGATCGAGACAATGTGATGTTGCAATACATTTTAACGTCCACAGAAACACCATTTGGTGTTTATGGCAACGTTGGCAACAGACGAATGCAGTCAGAGACCATCCGCGGAGTGGCAGGCCAAACGTAACCAATAATCGACAAGACAACTGGATTCGAACAACACACCTATGAAATCGATTCCAGCCAGCAACAGTGACTACAAAAAGCATCCCTGGCCTTCGACGAATATCTTTACAAACCGTACGTCGTGGCCTCACATGTGCAGGGATTGTCGCCAGAAGACCCGCCAGACGTCCCAATTGACAGGAAACCACCTTCAAGCATGTCTACAGTGGTGCAGACAGCGTCTACGCTGGACGGCCATGCAGTGGGGACAAGTTCTATTCACTGAAGAGTCTAGTTTTCACCTCAGCCACAGCGTTGGACGGATTCGAGTGTACCAACGTCAAGGTGAATGTTACGTCAATCATTGTGTCATGGAAGAAGATCTGTTCGGGGGCGGCAGCGTTAAGGTATGGGGTTGGAGCCAGAGGACCCGTTTGATAGTGGTAGAGGGAAATCTCAATGGACAGCGCTACCGCAACGAGATCATCGTCCCTGTTGTTCTACCGTTTTTGTGTCGTCATGGCCAAGGCATTACCTTTCAACATGACAACGCCCGGCCTCATATTTCTCAACTTGTTCAGGATTCTCTTCAACAAAACAACGTGAATGTCATCCCCTGGCTGGCTCACTCCCCTGATCTCTCACCAATCGAGCACATGTGGGATGAGATGGATCGGCGCCTTCGACGTCAACCACGTGTTCCACAGACACTCCAGGAACTTCGAAACATGCTTCAGCAGATATGGACAGATACCCCACAGGACTTTGTGCGATGCCTAGTCCATTCCATGAAACGAAGATGTGTTGCTTGCATCGCAACCAGAGGTGGACACACACGCTATTGATTTGTAAATTGACATTTTGGCATGTTCGTGTTTTTTTATGAAATCATGCATTTTCTGAAGTCAGCATGGCAAATTAAATCATTTGAACACTTACAGGAGTCATTTATCTGTTGCAAACCGAAATTGTTTCAGATTTGGTAAAAAACATAACTTTGCATTAAATCTTTTTCAATGTCACAGGAACTTTTGTTGTTCAGCATACAGTCAGTCAGTAACTAACATCACAGCTAGAGCTCAATCTCCCTGCAACATACAGTCAGTCAGTACCTAACATCACAGCTAGAGCTCAATCTCCCTGCAACATACAGTCAGTCAGTAACATCACAGCTAGAGCTCAATCTCCCTGCAACATACAGTCAGTCAGTAACATCACAGCTAGAGCTCAATCTCCCTGCAACATACAGTCAGTCAGTAACATCACAGCTAGAGCTCAATCTCCCTGCAACATAGTCAGTCAGTAACATCACAGCTAGAGCTCAATCTCCCTGCAACATACAGTCAGTCAGTCAGTAACATCACAGCTAGAGCTCAATCTCCCTGCAACATACAGTCAGTCAGCTGCACTCAGTAATACTACAGCTAGAGCTTAATCTCCCTGCAACATACAGTCAGTCAGTCAGTTACATCACAGCTAGAGCTCAATCTCCCTGCAACATACAGTCAGTCAGTAACATCACAGCTAGAGCTCAATCTCCCTGCAACATACAGTCAGTCAGTCAGTAACATCACAGCTAGAGCTCAATCTCCCTGCAACATACAGTCAGTCAGCTGCACTCAGTAATACTACAGCTAGAGCTTAATCTCCCTGCAACATACAGTCATACTGTCCTGGCGTGTACTGATCACCAAGTAATCTTCCTGAGCTGTCCTGGTGTGTACTACTAATTAAATGTTCTACCTGATCTGCTTGGCCAGTCTCTCCACTGCCTTGGTGGCCTCGATGTTGGCCGACTTCTCCACGTCCATGCCCCCCTCCAGGTCCCGCACACGAAGCTGAAACATGCACCAGGTGACACCATCAGGATCGCCCACACAATCCATGCACCAGGTGACACCATCAGGATCTCTCACACAATCCATGCACCAGGTGACACCATCAGGATCTCCCACACAATCCATGCACCAGGTGACACCATAAGGATCTCTCATACTATCCATGCACCAGGTGACACCATCAGGATCTCTCACACAATCCATGCACCAGGTGACACCATCAGGATCTCCCACACAATCCATGCACCAGGTGACACCATCAGGATCTCCCACACAATCCATGCACCAGGTGACACCATAAGGATCTCTCATACTATCCATGCACCAGGTGACACCATCAGGATCTCTCACACAATCCATGCACCAGGTGACACCATCAGGATCTCCCACACAATCCATGCACCAGGTGACACCATAAGGATCTCTCATACTATCCATGCACCAGGTGACACCATCAGGATCTCTCACACAATCCATGCACCAGGTGACACCATCAGGATCTCTCACACTATCCATGCACCAGGTGACACCATCAGGATCACCGACACTATCCATGCACCAGGTGACGACATCAGGATCACCAACACTATCCATGCACCAGGTGACACCATCAGGATCACCCACACAATCCATGCACCAGGTGACACCATCAAGATCTCCAACACTATCCATGCACCAGGTCACACCATCAGGATCTCCCACACCATCCATGAACCAGGTGATACCATCAGGATCTCCCACACAATCCATGCACCAGGTGACACCATAAGGATCTCTCATACTATCCATGCACCAGGTGACACCATCAGGATCTCTCACACAATCCATGCACCAGGTGACACCATCAGGATCTCTCACACTATCCATGCACCAGGTGACACCATCAGGATCACCGACACTATCCATGCACCAGGTGACGACATCAGGATCACCAACACTATCCATGCACCAGGTGACACCATCAGGATCACCCACACAATCCATGCACCAGGTGACACCATCAAGATCTCCAACACTATCCATGCACCAGGTCACACCATCAGGATCTCCCACACCATCCATGAACCAGGTGATACTATCAGGATCTCCCACACAATCCATGCACCAGGTGACACCATCAAGATCTCCAACACTATCCATGCACCAGGTCACACCATCAGGATCTCCCACACTATCCATGCACCAGGTGACACCATCAGGATCTCTCACACTATCCATGCACCAGGTGACACCATCAGGATCACCAACACTATCCATGCACCAGGTGACACCATCAGGATCACCAACACTATCCATGCACCAGGTGACACCATCAGGATCACCCAAACTATCCATGCACCAGGTGACACCATCAGGATCACCCACACTATCCATGCACCAGGTGACACCATCAGGATCTCCCACACAATCCATGCACCAGGTGACACTATCAGGATCACCCACACAATCCATGCACCAGGTGACACTATCAGGATCACCCACACTATCCATGCACCAGGTGACACCATCAGAATCACCCACACCATCCATGCACCAGATGACACCATCAGGATCTCTCACACTATCCATGCACCAGGTGACACCATAAGGATCACCCACACTATCCATGCACCAGGTGACACCATCAGTATCAACAACACTATCCATGCACCAGGTGACACCACCAGGATCACCCACACTATCCATGCACCAGGTGACACTATCAGGATCACCCACACTATCAATGCACCAGGTGACACCATCAGGATCACCCACACTATCAATGCACCAGGTGACACCATCAGGATCATCCACACTATCCATGCACCAGGTGACACCATCAGGATCATCCACACTATCAATGCACCAGGTGACACCATCAGGATCACCCACACTATCAATGCACCAGGTGACACTATCAGGATCTCTCACACAATCCATGCACCAGGTGACACCATCAGGATCTCTCACACAATCCATGCACCAGGTGACACCATCAGGATCTCTCACACAATCCATGCACCAGGTGACACCATCAGGATCTCTCACACAATCAATGCACCAGGTGACACCATCAGGATCTCTCACACAATCCATGCACCAGGTGACACCATCAGGATCATCCACACAATCCATGCACCAGGTGACACTATCAGGATCTCCAACACAATCCATGCACCAGGTGACACCATCAGGATCACCAACACTATCCATGCACCAGGTGACACCATCAGGATCACCCACACAATCCATGCACCAGGTGACACCATCAAGATCTCCAACACTATCCATGCACCAGGTCACACCATCAGGATCTCCCACACCATCCATGAACCAGGTGATACTATCAGGATCTCCCACACAATCCATGCACCAGGTGACACCATCAAGATCTCCAACACTATCCATGCACCAGGTCACACCATCAGGATCTCCCACACTATCCATGCACCAGGTGACACCATCAGGATCTCTCACACTATCCATGCACCAGGTGACACCATCAGGATCACCAACACTATCCATGCACCAGGTGACACCATCAGGATCACCAACACTATCCATGCACCAGGTGACACCATCAGGATCACCCAAACTATCCATGCACCAGGTGACACCATCAGGATCACCCACACTATCCATGCACCAGGTGACACCATCAGGATCTCCCACACAATCCATGCACCAGGTGACACTATCAGGATCACCCACACAATCCATGCACCAGGTGACACTATCAGGATCACCCACACTATCCATGCACCAGGTGACACCATCAGAATCACCCACACCATCCATGCACCAGATGACACCATCAGGATCTCTCACACTATCCATGCACCAGGTGACACCATAAGGATCACCCACACTATCCATGCACCAGGTGACACCATCAGTATCAACAACACTATCCATGCACCAGGTGACACCACCAGGATCACCCACACTATCCATGCACCAGGTGACACTATCAGGATCACCCACACTATCAATGCACCAGGTGACACCATCAGGATCACCCACACTATCAATGCACCAGGTGACACCATCAGGATCATCCACACTATCCATGCACCAGGTGACACCATCAGGATCATCCACACTATCAATGCACCAGGTGACACCATCGGGATCACCCACACTATCAATGCACCAGGTGACACTATCAGGATCTCTCACACAATCCATGCACCAGGTGACACCATCAGGATCTCTCACACAATCCATGCACCAGGTGACACCATCAGGATCTCTCACACAATCCATGCACCAGGTGACACCATCAGGATCTCTCACACAATCAATGCACCAGGTGACACCATCAGGATCTCTCACACAATCCATGCACCAGGTGACACCATCAGGATCATCCACACAATCCATGCACCAGGTGACACTATCAGGATCTCCAACACAATCCATGCACCAGGTGACACCATCAGGATCTCCCACACTATCCATGCACCAGGTGACACTATCAGGATCTCCCACACAATCCATGCACCAGGTGACACCATCAGGATCTCTCACACAATCCATGCACCAGGTGACACCATCAAGATCTCTCACACTATCCATGCACCAGGTGACACCATCAGGATCTCCCACACTATCAATGCACTAGGTGACACCATCAGGATCACCCACACTATCCATGCACCCGGGCACACCATCAGGATCACCCACACAATCCATGCACCAGGTGACACCATCAGGATCTCCCACACAATCCATGCACCCGGTCACACCATCAGGATCACCCACACTATCAATGCACCAGGTGACACTATCAGGATCTCTCACACAATCCATGCACCAGGTGCCACTATCAGGATCTCTCACACAATCCATGCACCAGGTGACACCATCAGGATCTCTCACACAATCCATGCACCAGGTGACACCATCAGGATCTCTCACACAATCAATGCACCAGGTGACACCATCAGGATCTCTCACACAATCCATGCACCAGGTGACACCATCAGGATCATCCACACAATCCATGCACCAGGTGACACTATCAGGATCTCCAACACAATCCATGCACCAGGTGACACCATCAGGATCTCCCACACTATCCATGCACCAGGTGACACTATCAGGATCTCCCACACAATCCATGCACCAGGTGACACCATCAGGATCTCTCACACAATCCATGCACCAGGTGACACCATCAAGATCTCTCACACTATCCATGCACCAGGTGACACCATCAGGATCTCCCACACTATCAATGCACTAGGTGACACCATCAGGATCACCCACACTATCCATGCACCCGGGCACACCATCAGGATCACCCACACAATCCATGCACCAGGTGACACCATCAGGATCTCCCACACAATCCATGCACCCGGTCACACCATCAGGATCACCCACACAATCCATGCACCAGGTGACGCTATCGGGATCACCCACACTATCAATGCACCAGGTGCCACTATCAGGATCTCTCATACTATCATCCCATAAACAGGAGTCTTACTTGCAAGCAAGCCCACACAAACTATAACTTCCACTTGCCTCTAGCTGGATAGTGCTGCTCAAATTACCTGCACAATCTCAGAGTTGAACTTGGTCTCCAGATGAGCCGCTCGCTCTGCTTCGATGTTCTCTTCTAAGGACTTGATCCTGTGGACGGCAACCTACGAAAATACCACAAATTACATTTCATATGCATGTCCAAGATTATTGCACTTATATAGCGACATGCATGCACGTGTGTGAGAGTAGCTGATGTACTAGTCGGGATTGATGCCGATTTGTAGTGCTATCCCACTGAGATACCATGCAGCAGTGATGTTTAACATGAATACCCCACTCAGACACAGTATACTGACTCAGGGCTGACCACCAGTCCTTGTTTCAGCCCCTTAATGCCAGTAACAACAAGTACCTTCTTTTAACGTCCTTTAGTATGACGCGGACGGGGATCGAACCCCGGACCTGCCGCTCCCTGGGCGGAAGCTCTACCACTGGACCACGTAGGCGGTCTGTGATGGATAATGGATCAGACAAACCAGTGATTGATATTAAGAGCAAAGACCCCTGCCATCAAGGATATATCCATCCAAGTCACCAAGTCTACCAAATCCATTTAGTCAACTTGTATGACAAACCCTAGTTTGCTGGGAATTAACAATTCTCACCCAGAATCCCAACAGGGAACAAACTTGCAATAAAAACATGGCATTTAGTCTAGTGACATGAAAAATGAATAAACTATCACATACTGCAACTCTTGACTTTTCTGTTATGTTGCAATATTTGACATGACAGCGAGATGACTGAAGAAATTGGAAATTTTATAATAGGTTGTATATTTATATACATTATCCTATCTCACATAATGCATCTCTCTTCCTTCTTTGATCCTGGTGTAGAAACACGCCTCAGAACAAAGTTAAAAAAACACCTCACCCCAACACATCTCTATTCATCACCATGATCACTGCTTGTCCATCTGGGTCACAGACCAATTTATCCCAACCTCAGCTTCCTTGACCACTCTGTATACCTTCCCAAGCCATTTTCTTTCTCAAGGTGTAGAGGCTGGAGCAACTGTCCATCTGGATCATGCACCAATCAATCCCGTGCAAACCGACCTCAGCTTCCTAGACCACTCTGTATACCTTCCCAAGCCATTTTCGTTCTCAAGGTGTAGAGGCTGGAGCAACTGTCCATCTGGATCATGCACAATCAATCCCGTGCAAACCGACCTCAGCTTCCTAGACCACTCTGTATACCTTCCCAAGCCATTGTCCATCTGGATCATGCACCAATCAATCCCGTGCGACCTGACCTCAGCTTCCTTGACCACTCTGTATACGTTCCCAAGCCATTGTCCATCTGGATCATGCACCAATCAATCCTGTGCAAACCGACCTCAGCTTCCTAGACCACTCTGTATACCTTCCCAAGCCATTGTCCATCTGGATCATGCACCAATCAATCCTGTGCAAACCGACCATTTTCTTTCTCAAGGTGTAGAGGCTGGAGCAACTGTGATGCGTGGAGGGATGGTTGGGCGTACATCGTGTGAGATAGGAGAAGTATATAAATATACAATTTATTGTAAAATTTTCAAAATGTTTTCAAATCAGTCTCTACAGATGAGTTGCCCTCCAAAAGCTACTCATTCTGGCAACCCAAATTGCAACAATAATAAACAAAAGAAGTGAAATTCCAAGGTTCATTTCTGACTTATGTCAGGTGTTCAGGTCGTCAAAGGTCGCAGTGCACAGGATTGTAGTGCGTGACGGATTTGATAGGTGGTGACCATGGTGATACTTGGATGTGTTAGGCCAATATGCTTTCTGAAGCTGGACACTTTGTTCTAGGGCATTTCCTATACCAGGATTGGAAGAAGGAGAAATGCATTGCGTGAGATAGGATAAGTAAAAAAATTGATGTGTTTTAATGTTCAGTTTGCTTTTGCCCATATCTGATCAATGAGATCCTTTAATTCTGCTGGACCTGTAACATGTATTTACCCACTTGCATTCAACTTCAACATTCTTACATCAATATCTTTCTTCATCTTCTCCTCTCTTTCCTTGCCATAATCCACTTCTGACAATGCTTTCCGCAGATGGTCGGACAAGCTTGTCCTCTCACCTGAATCACAACAAAGGAATTGTTAAAACCAAATTATTTAAAAAGACATTCAAGAGGTCTATGTTTAGCTTTAACAATGCTATCTGAAAGGCCCATACATAATGCATGTGTCATTTGGCCCTGAACCCATCATATGTTCCTTAGGTATTGAGGCTGAAATATCCTAGAGAATGTGTGCAGTCGAACCAACTCAAGCCTGTTTATCAATCACCTACAAATCAGGTGCCCATGTTGGTGGGCCTATTATCATGATTATAAGCAAACTCAGCCCTGATCAAGAAAGACAACTTTTCCTGCTTCCACACCAGCTGTTGGCACTCCACTGTTTCCGTTCTTCCTGAGGCAAGGGAGTTAACTGACTATAAAGGTTAACTGACTATAAAAGTCCAGTTCCCACCCTTGCCGAACTAGGCTGGAATTTCCAGGTCGATTGTAGCACCACCAGTGGCTAGTTATCCCGTGAGTTATGTCCCTTCCATAACCCTCTTATTGACCAATCAGATTCCATCTCTCGTATCACTTGCATTTGCTTCAAACAAAATGGCGGCGTCCAGTCAAGTCGATCTGATCGATAATAAAGATCTATATTGTAATACGAGTCTTACCCCCCGAAGTGAATTGAATCAATTGAGCACCTTGATTAAAAACATGAAAAGATTAACAAAATATGGCGGTACACATGCTTTGCAAATCCTGCAGTCAACCGAAATCTGCACTTTGAAATCTGTGTTGTTTATTAACCGTGTGTCTAGTTCGCTACTCGATTTTGATTGGACTAAGCATAGATTTGATAGTCCAGCCAAAATGTAACTCCAGAATTCCAGCCTAGTTCAGGATAGGTGGAAACTGGACTTTTATAGCCAGTTAACGCCCTTGCCCCAGGAAGATGGACTTTTTTAATCCTGCTGGTGACAAACATGGTTCTTCAACTTACACTATCGTTAAATTAAACATGTCAAGATACGATGAGACCTCCATTGTTACCCCAGTGTATATGAAGGCAAGGCATGTTTCAAACGGTGCACGGTTGAGGGCAACCTCTGTAACAGCGTGGACTTACTCTCTAGCTCCTGTATCTGCTCGTGCAACCCTGACACTGTGCTGAAACAGATGGGAGAGTTTATTACCACCTGGTTTTGTTTGTTTGATGTTTAACACCGCACTCAGCAATATTCCAGCTATATGACGGCAGTCTGTAAGTAGACGAGCCTGGACCATATAATCCAGTGATTGACATCACGAGTATTGATGTAAAACATAACACACATTTTGACAAGTAAACTTTCATGTAAGTATCAAACAAAACATTTTGGAACATATTGAAGTGATACTATCAAACAAGGCTAGTAGTTAAACATGATAATCAATATTTGCCTGTAGCTGTTCATGATTCAAGGTAAAGCAAGAGTTCTTATCAAATAGCAAAGTGAAAATAAGAACTAGCACTCTTGTAGAATTTGTCTAAAATTGGAATAAATTTCCTATAATTATGGCCCAAACTGTATGAATGTCATGTATTTTAACTGTAGCCAGTGTAGGGGTTAAAACATTACCAATACAGTTAATGGGCTTGCTTATGCAATATTCTTCTCGATGGTTTTGAAACTGTGGGAAAATACATATAATGTCTGGGGTAAGATGGAATGGGGGTCACGGTTATTGCACTTACAGAGTGGTGTGCATGGTGTGTGGCTTCTTGTACTAGTGCAGATTTATTTCGGTTTTATAGTGCTAGCCCACTGAGATACGATGTACATGTAGTAGTTTAACATGCACACCCAAACAAGACACAGCATACTGGCTCGGAGTCGACCAGTCCTTGTTTCATCTCCTCAAGTACCATCTTTTAATTTCATTTGGCATAACAGAGTACTTTATGTCAGTCGGCCTACCTAATGTTACAGTGTTAGTTGGCCTACCTAATGTTACAGTGTTAGTTGGCCTACCTAATGTTACAGTGTTAGTTGGCCTACCTAATGTTACAGTGTTAGTTGGCCTACCTAATGTTAGTGTTAGTTGGCCTACCTAAAGTTACACGTATCAGTTAGCCCACCTAAAGTTACAGGTATCAGTTGGCCTACCTAATGTTACAGGTATCAGTTGGCCTACCTAATGTTACAGTGTTAGTTAGTCTACCTAAAGTTACAGGTATGAGTTAGCCTACCTAAAGTTACAGGTATCAGTTGGCCTACCTAATGTTAGTGTCAGTTGGCCTACCTAATGTTACAGGTATCAGTTGGCCTACCTAATGTTAGTGTTAGTTGGCCTACCTAATGTTACAGGTATCAGTTGGCCTACCTAATGTTACAGGTATCAGTTGGCCTACCTAATGTTAGTGTTAGTTGGCCTACCTAATGTTACAGGTATCAGTTGCCCTACCTAATGTTACAGGTATCAGTCGGCCTACCTAATGTTACAGGTACCAGTTGGCCTACCTAATGTTACAGGTACCAGTTGGCCTACCTAATGTTACAGGTATCAGTTGGCCTACCTAAAGTTACAGGTATCAGTCGGCCTACCTAATGTTACAGGTACCAGTTGGCCTACCTAATGTTACAGGTATCAGTCGGCCTACCTAATGTTACAGGTATCAGTTGGCCTACCTAATGTTACAGGTATCAGTCGGCCTACCTAATGTTACAGGTACCAGTTGGCTACCTAATGTTACAGGTATCAGTCTGCCTAACTAATGTTACAGGTATCAGTTGGCCTACCTAATGTTATTGTCAGTTGGCCTACCTAATGTTACAGGTATCAGTTGGCCTACCTAAAGTTACAGGTATCAGTTGGCCTACCTAATGTTACAGGTATCAGTTGGCCTACCTAAAGTTACAGGTATCAGTTGGCCTACCTAATGTTACAGGTATCAGTTGGCCTACCTAATGTTATTGTCAGTTGGCCTACCTAAAGTTACAGGTATCAGTTGGCCTACCTAATGTTACAGGTATCAGTCGGCCTACCTAATGTTACAGGTATCAGTTGGCCTACCTAATGTTACAGGTACCAGTTGGCTACCTAATATTACAGGTACCAGTCGGCCTACCTAATGTTACAGGTATCAGTTGGCCTACCTAATGTTACAGTTATCAGTCGGCCTACCTAATGTTAGTGTTAGTCAGCCTACCTAATGTGACAGTGTCAGTTGGCCTTCCTAATGTTACAGGTACCAGTTGGCTTACCTAATGTTACAGATGTTAGTCGACTTACTTAATGCTACAGATGTCAGTTGGCCTACCTAATGTGACACTGTCAGTTGGCCTGCCTTATGTGACACTGTCAGTTGGTCTACCTAATGTTACAGGTATCAGTTGGCCTGCCTTATGTGACACTGTCAGTTGGTCTACCTAATGTTACAGGTATCAGTTGGTCTACCTTATGTGACACTGTCAGTTGGTCTACCTAATGTTACAGGTATCAGTTGGTCTACCTAATGTTACAGTGTCAGTTGACCTACCTAATGTTACAGAGTCAGTTGGCCTACCTAATGTTACAGAGTCAGATGCCCAACCTAATGTTACAGAGTCAGATGGCCAACATAATGTTACAGTGTCAGTTGGTCTACCTAATGTTACAGTGTTAATTGGCCTACCTACTGTTACAGTCTCAGCACTATCACATCTCTCTGTACAAATGTTTCACAGATTGCAACACTATCTACTGTTCAAGCTAACAGTCTTTAGTTAAATGAGTTGTACCCATGAAGGACTTTGAAAGGGAATACTACAAGTCATGTTACCTAACTTGGCTATTCTCTCTGGAAGATAAATAACAACAACATCAGTCATAACAGCTGGGTGCAGGTATCAGGGATTAATTCTCCTACTGTGACTAACAACAGAGGAGATACAGACCGGTGCGACCAGTGTTACAGGTATCAGGGATTAATTCTCCTACTGTGACTAACAACAGAGGAGATACAGACCGGTGCGACCAGTGTTACAGGTATCAGGGATTAATTCTCCTACTGTGACTAACAACAGAGGAGATACAGACCAGTGCGACCAGTGTAGGTGGGATTGTAAACCAGTGAGTGAATGAGTGAGTGGGTTCGGTGTAAGTCTCTTTTAACAATATTCAAGTGTGATATAGGCTAAGTTTGAAAATATAGAGCATCAACTAAAGTACAGACAACTGAGTCGTTTCTGTCATCTTTAACATCATACATAAGTGTTGACCACAATACATAAACCTTCAACACCCTCATACAAGTGTTGACCACACTACATCAACCTTCAACACCCTCATACAAGTGTTGACCACACTACATAAACCTTCAACACCCTCATACAAGTGCTGACCACACTACATAAACCTTTAACACCCTCATACAAGTGTTGACCACACTACATAAACCTTCAACACCCTTATACAAGTGTTGACCACAATACATCAACCTTCAACACCCTCATACAAGTGTTGAACACAATACATCAACCTTCAACACCCTCATACAAGTGTTGACCACACTACATAAACCTTCAACACCCTCATACAAGTGTTGACCACACTACATAAACCTTCAACACCCTCATACAAGTGTTGACCACACTACATAAACCTTCAACACCCTCATACAAGTGTTGACCACACTACATAAACCTTCAACACCCTCATACAAATGTTGACCACACTACATCAACCTTCAACACCCCTATACAAGTGTTCACCACACCACATACACCTTCAACACCCTCATAGTCATACAAGTGTTGACCACACTACATAAACCTTCAACACCCTCATACAAGTGTTGACCACACTACATAAACCTTCAACACCCTCATACAAGTGTTGACCACACTACATAAACCTTCAACACCCTCATACAAGTGTTGACCACACTACATAAACCTTCAACACCCTCATACAAGTGTTGACCACACTACATAAACCTTCAACACCCCTATACAAGTGTTGACCACACTACATAAACCTTCAACACCCTCATACAAGTGTTGAACACACTACATCAACCTTCAACACCCTCATACAAGTGTTGACCACACTACATAAACCTTCAACACCCTTATACAAGTGTTGACCACACTACATAAACCTTCAACACCCTCATACAAGTGTTGATCACACTACATAAACCTTCAACACCCTCATACAAGTGTTGACCACACTACATCAACCTTCAACACCCTCATAAAAGTGTTGACCACACTACATAAACCTTCAACACCCTCATACAAGTGTTGACCACACTACATAAACCTTCAACACCCTCATACAAGTGCTGACCACACTACCTACACATTCAACACCCTCATACAAGTGTTGAACACACTACATAAACCTTCAACACACTCATACAAGTGTTGACCACACTACATAAACCTTCAACACCCTCATACAAGTGTTGACCAAACTACATCAACCTTCAACACCCTCATACAAGTGTTGACCACACTACATAAACCTTCAACACCCTCATACAAGTGTTGACCACACTACATAAACCTTCAACACTCATACAAGTGTTGACCACACTACATAAACCTTCAACACCCCTATACAAGTGTTGACCACACTACATAAACCTTCAACACCCTCATACAAGTGTTGACCACACTACATAAACCTTCAACACCCTCATACAAGTGTTGAACACACTACATCAACCTTCAACACCCTCATACAAGTGTTGACCACACTACATAAACCTTCAACACCCTCATACAAGTGCTGACCACACTACATAAACCTTTAACACCCTCATACAAGTGTTGACCACACTACATAAACCTTCAACACCCTTATACAAGTGTGGACCACAATACATCAACCTTCAACACCCTCATACAAGTGTTGAACACAATACATCAACCTTCAACACCCTCATACAAGTGTTGACCACACTACATAAACCTTCAACACCCTCATACAAGTGTTGACCACACTACATAAACCTTCAACACCCTCATACAAGTGTTGACCACACTACATAAACCTTCAACACCCTCATACAAGTGTTGACCACACTACATAAACCTTCAACACCCTCATACAAATGTTGACCACACTACATCAACCTTCAACACCCCTATACAAGTGTTCACCACACCACATACACCTTCAACACCCTCATAGTCATACAAGTGTTGACCACACTACATAAACCTTCAACACCCTCATACAAGTGTTGACCACACTACATAAACCTTCAACACCCTCATACAAGTGTTGACCACACTACATAAACCTTCAACACCCTCATACAAGTGTTGACCACACTACATAAACCTTCAACACCCTCATACAAGTGTTGACCACACTACATAAACCTTCAACACCCCTATACAAGTGTTGACCACACTACATAAACCTTCAACACCCTCATACAAGTGTTGAACACACTACATCAACCTTCAACACCCTCATACAAGTGTTGACCACACTACATAAACCGTCAACACCCTTATACAAGTGTTGACCACACTACATAAACCTTCAACACCCTCATACAAGTGTTGATCACACTACATCAACCTTCAACACCCTCATAAAAGTGTTGACCACACTACATAAACCTTCAACACCCTCATACAAGTGTTGACCACACTACATAAACCTTCAACACCCTCATACAAGTGTTGACCACACTACATAAACCTTCAACACACTCATACAAGTGTTGACCACACTACATAAACCTTCAACACCCTCATACAAGTGTTGACCACACTACATCAACCTTCAACACCCTCATACAAGTGTTGACCACACTACATAAACCTTCAACACCCTCATACAAGTGTTGACCACACTACATAAACCTTCAACACTCATACAAGTGTTGACCACACTACATAAACCTTCAACACCCCTATACAAGTGTTGACCACACTACATAAACCTTCAACACCCTCATACAAGTGTTGACCACACTACATAAACCTTCAACACTCATACAAGTGTTGAACACACTACATCAACCTTCAACACCCTCATACAAGTGTTGACCACACTACATCAATCTTCAACACCCTCATACAAGTGTTGAACACAATACATCAACCTTCAACACCCTCATACAAGTGTTGACCACACTACATCAACCTTCAACACCCTCATACAAGTGTTGACCACACTACATAAACCTTCAACACCCTCATACAAGTGTTGAACACAATACATCAACCTTCAACACCCTCATACAAGTGTTGAACACAATACATAAACCTTCAACACCCTCATACAAGTGTTGACCACACTACATCAACCTTCAACACCCTCATACAAGTGTTGAACACAATACATCAACCTTCAACACCCTCATACAAGTGTTGAACACAATACATAGACCTTCAACACCCTCATACAAGTGTTGACCACACTACATAAACCTTCAACACCCTCATACAAGTGTTGAACACAATACATCAACCTTCAACACCCTCATACAAGTGTTGAACACAATACATCAACCTTCAACACCCTCATTCAAGTGTTGAACACAATACATCAACCTTCAACACCCTCATACAAGTGTTGACCACACTACATAAACCTTCAACACCCTCATACAAGTGTTGACCACACTACATAAACCTTCAACACCCTCATACAAGTGTTCAATACATACACCTTCAACACTCTCATACAAGTGTTGACCACACTACATAAACCTTCAACACCCTCATACAAGTGTTGACCACACTACATAAACCTTCAACACCCTCATACAAGTGTTGAACACACTACATCAACCTTCAACACCCTCATACAAGTGTTGAACACACTACATCAACCTTCAACACCCTCATACAAGTGTTGAACACACTACATCAACCTTCAACACCCTCATACAAGTGTTGAACACACTACATCAACCTTCAACACCCTCATACAAGTGTTGAACACAATACATCAACCTTCAACACCCTCATACAAGTGTTGAACACAATACATCAACCTTCAACACCCTCATACAAGTGTTGAACACACTACATCAACCTTCAACACACTCATACAAGTGTTGAACACAATACATCAACCTTCAACACCCTCATACAAGTGTTGAACACACTACATCAACCTTCAACACCCTCATACAAGTGTTGACCACACTACATAAACCTTCAACACCCTCATACAAGTGTTGATCACACTACATAAACCTTCAACACCCTCATATAAGTGTTGAACACACTACATCAACCTTCAACACCCTCATACAAGTGTTGACCACACTACATAAACCTTCAACACCCTCATACAAGTGTTGACCACACTACATACACCTTCAACACCCTCATACAAGTGTTGACCACACTACATACACCTTCAACACCCCTATACAAGTGTTGACCACACTACATCAACCTTCAACACCCTCATACAAGTGTTGACCACACTACATAAACCTTCAACACCCTCATACAAGTGTTGAACACAATACATCAACCTTCAACACCCTCATACAAGTGTAGAACACAATACATAGACCTTCAAGACCCTCATACAAGTGTAGAAGACGCTACATACAAATTGATTATCGATGTACCATATTTCCTTGAGTATAGTGAGCACCCAAGTATTATGCGCATCCCCCTCTAGCGGATTCAGTAGTTTGAAAAAAAAATTATTTTGAATATTATGCGCAGAAAAAAGATACACTGTACCCCATCAGCGAATTCTGGTAAACGAATGGGTAATAAGAAAATTGGTCAGTACAAACTTAAAATTTGAGATAAAAAATCACGAGACATGTTGATTTACTGTCTAAATTGTATTTTTTGTTATGCTAGGCATTATATTTTGTTTTACAGCCAGGGATTAAGATTACCTTGTGTATTTTCTCGTAAACTAACCCGGAAACAGCAATCAGCTGTACACACATTTCCTTGGAATCTGCTGGTGATTAAAAGATTTTGATGCAAGGATCGGGATAAATTGTATCTGAAACTATTTTTTTATCAGGAATAATATATTCCAATATTTTGTTATTTTAGTTGCAGCTTTTACTAAATATATTTAAAATAATAATAACCTTAAGCGTAGCACTTAGGTGCAGCTGATTGCTATTGCTGGTTATTATACAATTTGACCAGTCACCGTTGAGGCTCCGGCACACATGATCATGAGAACTATGTGTTGACATATAATTGTCAAACAACAAAAAATATGACTTTTAACGAGTCATAGTATGACATTTATGATATATGTATCCATTCTCTGTCAACTAAAGTTTGTTTCAAGGCGTCAATAGCGGTAATCTGACTGTGGTTGCTGTTAATAACGGTGAGTTGTGCGATCTTCTGATCGTTTCACGATTTCCCCGAAATTAATTAAAACAATATATACAAACATAAGTCCAGATATACAAAGAACACTTTTCATAACCAGAGAGTGTAATTACATGATTAATTTGCGTACTTCAGTATGGATTTGTTGACATGGTATTTCCTGTGGTACGTGCTCAAGGTAATGTCTTTGCGTAAGGGGAAAAAACCACCAAAACACATTATGGCGTGTATAATGTGCACCCCCTTCTACACAGCTGTGTTTTTTGCAAAAAAAGTGTGCACTATACTCAAGAAAATACAGTATCTGTAAAATCTTAATGTTGATTCTGTATCAATACAAATAAATATGACATTAAATTAACATTTCAATGTCACAGAAATCTTCCATAAATTAAGATTACCATGGTTAAGATGGACATTGAGAAAGAAGTAAATATAATTTTAAACATCAGCCTTGTTCCTATTTAGCACTAAATGTATTTACTGCAAGTCTATATAAGGGTAATTTATATGTACACACATAAGTGAGTGAGTGAGTTTGGTTTAACGCCGCTTTTAACAAGTATTACAGTTATATCGCGGTATGTCAGCTTAATGTGGGAGGAAAGCCTGAAGTGATGCAGGTCTCCGACGTTTACCACCTCGATGAAACCCACGAGCACGGGTTTGGTGCTGACAAACCTAGAAACATAATCGGGGCGAATCAGGATTCGAACCCACAATCATAGTTTTCTGGTGTGCCCAAGGGACGCAACTCTGCAGAGCGAATCGCGGCGCCTGGCGACTAGGCCACCCTCGCCCCCTACACACATAAAGACTAATGATATCAAATATATCATTAATCGATATATATTGCGATACTTTTGAATTGATGTACCAATACTAAAATTTCCAGTCAATGACACCTCCATGATATCAACCAGATGTTAAACCCATCTCATAGTGTCATCCATGGAACAGCCAGGCTTGTGTTTCAAACAGTGGGGATGTTAGATCAATGTGCACATGAGAAAACGCCGCACTCAGCAATATTCCAGCTATATGACAGCAGTCTGTAAATATTCAATTCTGGACCAGACAATCCAGTGATAGACATCATGTGCTTCGATCCACGCAATTGGGATACCATGACATGCATCAACCAAGTCAATAAGTCTGACAACCCAATCCCGTTAGTCGCCTGTTACTGCAAGCATGGGTTGCTGAAGACCTGTTCTCAACTCGGATCTTCACGGGTCTCAGGTTGTAAAGAACACACATGTAATCAGCTTCTGCCTACCCTTGGTGCTGCCTGAGGAGCGCTTCCAGCTTCTCCCTCTCCGTCCTCATCACCTCCTGGTCGTTCTTGTGCCGGTTCAGCAGGAACTCCTGTCACACCAACCAGTAGTTATCAGCAACAACATAGTGTGACTGGTAGAAAAACATTTCTTAATTCCCAATGATGACCTCTCAGGAATTCAAAATCATAAAATTTCAAGAAGAGCTGTGCATTATACACTGAAGCCTAATAGTTTGTTTCTTTGTTTATTTGTTGCCACACTCAGCACTATTCCAGCTACATGACGGCCATCTGTAATGATTAAGTCTTGACCAGACAATCTAGTGCAATTGGGAACTGATGACTGTTAGTCGCCTCTTACGACAAGCATAGTCACCCTTTACGGCATACATGAGTTGCTGAAGACCTATTCTACCCCGGATCTTCACGGGTATGAATTTATGAATTTATAAGGTATCCACATTTTGACAAAGAACTGATTTACACTATTGACATGTTTGTTGGCTTCAATCATGTTCAATGAATTATATTGTTTAGTTAACTAGAAAGAGCATCAATGACATTTGACCTTTTCCTCCAGTTCTTTCCTCATCTTCATCTCTGTGCCTTCACTGGACTGGTGGACAGCCTGCACTTGTTTCTGCAGCGCGAGCATCTCTTCCGACACTTCACCGATCTTACCTGGAATGGAGGAAGGAGACACTAACTAACACATCAACTCTTGCCACAGCAACCACTTTCAAGTGATGAATAACGTAATATTAATTATTGTATAGTTATTATGTTGCTTTCAGACGGTAATGAGCAGCTTTGGAGCAACATCATCAGGGCAGGGAAATAATGAAGACAATCAGTGCAAGCAACACCTATCAACACATCAGACACCTGGGGGTCACCCATGCACACAGAGGTATCACATCACACACCTGGTGATCACCCATCTACACAGAGGTATCACATCACACATCTGGTGGTCACCCATCTACACAGAGGTATCACATCACACATCTGGTGGTCACCCATCTACACAGAGGTATCACATCACACATCTGGTGGTCACCCATCTACACCGAGGTATCACAACACACCTGGTGATCACCCATCCACACAGAGGTATCACAACACACCTGGTGATCACCCATCTACACAGAGGTTTCACAACACACCTGGTGATCACCCATCTACACAGAGGTTTCACAACACACCTGGTGATCACCCATCCACACAGATGTATCACAACACACCTGGTGATCACCCATCCACACAGATGTATCACAACACACCTGGTGATCACCCATCTACACAGAGGTTTCACAACACACCTGGTGATCACCCATCTACACAGAGGTATCACAACACACCTGGTGATCACCCATCCACACAGAGGTATCACAACACACCTGGTGATCACCCATCCACACAGATGTATCACAACACACCTGGTGATCACCCATCTACACAGAGGTATCACAACACACCTGGTGATCACCCATCCACACAGATGTATCACATCACACATCTGGTGGTCACCCATCTACACCGAGGTATCACAACACACCTGGTGATCACCCATCCACACAGATGTATCACAACACACCTGGTGATCACCCATCTACACAGAGGTTTCACAACACACCTGGTGATCACCCATCTACACAGAGGTTTCACAACACACCTGGTGATCACCCATCCACACAGATGTATCACAACACACCTGGTGATCACCCATCCACACAGATGTATCACAACACACCTGGTGATCACCCATCTACACAGAGGTATCACAACACACCTGGTGATCACCCATCCACACAGATGTATCACATCACACATCTGGTGGTCACCCATCTACACCGAGGTATCACAACACACCTGGTGATCACCCATCCACACAGAGGTATCACAACACACCTGGTGATCACCCATCTACACAGAGGTTTCACAACACACCTGGTGATCACCCATCTACACAGAGGTTTCACAACACACCTGGTGATCACCCATCCACACAGATGTATCACAACACACCTGGTGATCACCCATCCACACAGATGTATCACAACACACCTGGTGATCACCCATCTACACAGAGGTATCACAACACACCTGGTGATCACCCATCTACACAGAGGTATCACAACACACCTGGTGATCACCCATCCACACAGAGGTATCACAACACACCTGGTGATCACCCATCCACACAGATGTATCACAACACACCTGGTGATCACCCATCTACACAGAGGTATCACAACACACCTGGTGATCACCCATCTACACAGAGGTATCACAACACACCTGGTGATCACCCATCTACACAGAGGTATCACAACACACCTGGTGATCACCCATCTACACAGAGGTATCACAACAAATCCAAGTACAATCACAAAGGTCAGCTATCTCACACAATGCATCAAGCATATGGGAGTTAAACCGGTAATGTTCCTGCCTGAACAGCGGCACCTACGTTTCAGGTCATCATTTGTCTCCATGAGGACCGCCTCTCTCTCCATCCTGGTCTGTTTTTGCTGACTCAGCTCCCTCCGTGCTTTTGTCAGTTCAAACTCCAGACTGTGACGCGTTGCCTCGCCCTTCTCTATCTGGGACCCTACTCGAGCCAACTGACCTTCCAGCGTCGTGACCTAAAACCAGTGCACACAACAAAAATAAATATTTCTAAAATGAATAATGTGTAATAATATTGAAAACAGAAATCAAACAATAGATATCATTGTGTAAAATTCTAGGAATACTACGTCTATTGCATCATAGCCATAATTCCTGTAGCCAATCTTTACCTTATTGCACTATACATCATGGTACAGCAATTGTTAGTACTTTTCTAAGATGCCAAATTTCAAACCAACCTTGTGTTTTGGGGGATATGAGTTTAAAATCAAATCTGTAGTAAGAGGTGCAGTAAACTGAAAATCCTCAAACAGGGCTAAACGATGGGCAGTTCCAACTAATTGCCCGCAGCCTTACGATAAGAGACAAAGTATGTTATAAACACAAAACTGTTAGCTTATGGTGAAGTCCCATTTTATTGTCCGTTCAGTGAGTCATCATCCATAACCCCATGCAGCAATACATCAAATTTAAATTTAAGTTTTGATATTAACTGCTTCAGCAAGACATGACTTGAAACATTTTACAAGTGCATTGTGGGGCTGAGCTAACCCATGTAAACATAGCCGAGGTTCTGTGTCGCTGGTTATTGTAAGTTGAGGTGTTTTCTGTTCTAAACATTGCAACTTTGTCTCCACTACTAATATTAGCCGACTGCAGCAACTGCAAGCCATGACATATTGAGCTTACCGAGCTGGTGGCACTGCATGATACAGTAACACACTGTTCATGTCGGTATGGAACTCTTCAATCACTACTAATGCCCGTGTCCACAAACAGACCATAATTCCTACAGCATCAACGCCCGCCTCGGAAAACTTTACTGCTGTGGCACGGACAGTGGTTTGGATATATTTGCAAAATTCGCGGCATGAGAGATGGTTGACATCATGTTGTCATATTTCGTCCCAACTACATGTAATAATATTCAAAACATCACCAAATTCAAAGAAACTTATATTTCATCAATTTGATGTTGATGTGCCATCTTGCTTGTCAGTAATGAAAGAATGTTACCAAGGCTATGTTAGATCACAGGGGAGGTAATTGGAACAGCGTCATGAAGTCAGCCTAATATGACGTCACTAAAAAACTATCGCAGGATAAAGTAGTCGGCACCTTGATCTTTAAACAAACCATCTTAGAAATCTAACTCAAGACTATCCCAGCACAATATGAAGATGATTTTCAGGACATCAGGGAAGAAAGTACAACATTTAAAGATACCCTGGCTATAGGCAGCTGGAGGACTTGTGTTGTAGCAGGGGATATGGCATCTTCCCGAGGCAAGAGAGTTAACTGACACTAAAACTCCAGTTTCCACCCTTGCCTAACTAGGCTGGAATTCCTGGGCTCGATCGTAGCACCACCAGTAGCTATTACGAGTTATGTCCCTTCTAAGCCTCTCCTATGGATGAATCAGATTCCACCTCTCATATCACTTGCATTTGCTTTAAACAAAATGGCGGCACCCAGTCAAGACGATCTGATCGATAATCAAGGTCTATATTGTGATAAAACGTGTCTTACATCGCGAAATACATCAAATCACGTGAGCACCTTGATTAAAAACATGAAAAGATTTGGAAAATATCTGTTAACGAGTTGGCGGTGCACATGCTTTGCAAATCCTGAAATCGACAGTTTACGAACCAAATTTCAATTTTGTTGCGCGACTATGCATCGTTACTCGTTAGTCCAGCCAAAACGTAACTCCAAAATACCAGCCTATAGTCAGTGAACTCTCTCTTGCGTCAGGAAGATGGGGATGTGGCAAATAGTGTGCTGACTGTTGTCCCCTATCAGCAACATAGAGCAGTTTCAAACAGGAAAAAAAATTGTGCATAAAAACACAGCATGGTCAAAAGCAGTGGTGTGGCCAATCTTATTGATATCAAGTTTCGCTGTATCATAATGCTTATCAAATAAACATACCTCATTATTGAATCGACTGGCAGCTTCAAGACGCTCCTTTTCTGCTGTGTTCAAGCGACGGCGTAGTTGATTTGTAAGATCTGAAATCAGTTAAGAAAGGTGAACATGAAGTGAAACTGTCTGTTCAATGGTAGTAACTTACACTGTTAGTAATTAGTCTTTCTTCTGTCAACATGTTCACAGTATCCATACCTTTCTGTACATTATGCCACAAGTGTGTCCAAATACCTTGCTCAGACTGTTCAATGTATCTAGCACATATTGTTCCACGTACCTTGCACACATTGTTCCATGTACCTTGCTCACATTGTTCCACGTATCTTGCTCACATTGTTCCACGTACCTTGCTGGCTTGCTCAGACTATTCCATGTACCTGGCAAATATTGTTCCACGAACCTCGCACATATTGTTCCACGTACCTTGCTCACATTGTTCCACGTACCTTCCACACATTGTTCCACGTACCTTGCTCACATTGTTCCACGTACCTTGCACACATTATTCCACGTACTTTGCACATATTGTTCTACGTACCTTGCACACATTGTTCCACGTACCTTCCACACATTGTTCCACGTACCTTGCACACATTATTCCACGTACCTTGCACACATTATTCCACGTAACTTGCAGACATTATTCCACGTACCTTGCACACATTATTCCACGTACCTTGCACACATTGTTCCACAAGTGTGTCCACATACCTTGCTCAGACTGTTCAATGTATCTAGCACATATTGTTCCACGTACCTTGCACACATTGTTCCATGTACCTTGCTCACATTGTTCCACGTATCTTGCTCACATTGTTCCACGTACCTTGCTGGCTTGCTCAGACTATTCCATGTACCTGGCGAATATTGTTCCACGAACCTCGCACATATTGTTCCACGTACCTTGCTCACATTGTTCCACGTACCTTCCACACATTGTTCCACGTACCTTGCTCACATTGTTCCACGTACCTTGCACACATTGTTCCACAAGTGTGTCCACATACCTTGCTCAGACTGTTCAATGTATCTAGCACATATTGTTCCACGTACCTTGCACATATTGTTCCACGTACCTTGCACATATTGTTCCACGTACCTTGCAAACATTGTTCCACGTACCTCGCACACATTGTTCCACGTACCTCTCACACATTGTTCCACGTACCTTGCTCAGACTATTCCACGTACCTTGCACACATTGTTCCACGTACCTCTCACACATTCTTCCATGTACCTTGCTCAGACTGTTCCACGTACCTTGCACACATTGACGTACCTTGCACACATTGTTCCGAGTACCTTGCACACATTCTTCCACGTACCTTGCACAGACTATTCCACGTACCTCGCACATAGTGTTCCACGTACCTTGTTCAGGCTGTTCCACGTACTTCTCACACATTCTTCCATGTACCTTGCACAGACTATTCCACGTATCTCTCACACATTCTTCCATGTACCTTGCTCAGACTGTTCCACGTACCTTGCACACATTATTCCATGTACCTTGCACATATTGTTCCACGTACCTTGCACACATTCTTCCACGTACCTTGCACAGACTATTCCACGTACCTCGCACATAGTGTTCCACGTACCTTGTTCAGGCTGTTCCACGTACTTCTCACACATTCTTCCATGTACCTTGCACAGACTATTCCACGTACCTCTCACACATTATTCCATGTACCTTGCACATATTGTTCAACGTACCTTGCTCACATTGTTCCACGTACCTTGCACATATTGTTCCACGTACCTTGCTCACATTGTTCCACGTACCTTGCTCACATTGTTCCATGTAGCTTGCACAGACTATTCCACCTACCTCGCACATACTGTTCCAGGTACCACGCACACATTGTTCCATGTACCTTGCTCAGACTATTCCACGTACCTTGCACATATTGTTCCATGTACCTTGCTCACATTGTTCCACGTACCTTGCACACATTATTCCATGTACCTTGCACATATTGTTCCACGTACCTTGCACACATTTTTCCATGTACCTTGCTCAGATTATTCAACGTACCTCACACATATTGTTCCATGTACCTTGCACACATTGTTCCACTTACCTTGCTCAGACTGTTCTACTTCCCTTGCTCACATTGTTACACGTACCTTGCTCAGATTGTTCCACGTACCTTGTTCAGACTGTAAGTCCAGTTTCAACTGCTTCATCTGGATTCTCATTTGACTCATGTCCACGTCATGCTGACCGCTGATGTCCAGTAGACCGGAAAAAACACCACTCTGAAACACCCAGAGATGACAGTGTCAAATTTAACCTCAGACAGGTCTAGGGATCTGCAAGGTGCTGCTTCTGCTGCTGCTCAATAAACTGAAGCATAATTGGTGTGAACGCCGTGGTTTGTGACAAGCATCTGACGTAGATGATGACTGCAGTACATGACAATTCCCTACAACTGGCTCATGTTAACATGGGTAAAGCTCTCTGTACAATGTACAACAATGTACCATGTATACTTCTGTATGTTCAGGCGTGTCAGATCATTGAAGAATATAACTGAGGTGTAAAGGCTTTTAAGACATTTTTACATATTTTTTTCAAACAAATTACATAAAAGACAACTCAGGAAAGAGGATGTACTGTCGAACCTCGTTATCTCAAACATTGCAGGAGCATGTTGTATATTCAAGATACCCGGACATTGGAGATAGCGAGGCATGAACATCCAGACACATCAAGTAACAGCATTATCTATAGACACAGTGCAGTATGATCATTGTGATTGTCTACTTGAGAAATTTAGAACACAACATATGTTTATGATGACAAATTGAAATGCATTTCACAGGCAATGAACAAAAACCATTGTTACAAATTATGTACAGTGTAATGACATGTAGGATTGACATAATGTGTACATGTACATCCATCTTATCAGGCATAGCAGCCATCAGTAGCTGCAATCATAAATCAACAACAGCTGAGTGCGTGGTATGCGGTCTAGGTGGCACGTGGTCACTGAATTGCTTACAGTATATAGCAACAATGTGATAATGTTACGTCTGAAGTTCATTTTTATTTGGTCTGTCTAGTTGGATGTGCCACTCTCACTTCAAGCTGATTAATTCAATGCTTGGACATTGTGAGTAGCATTACGCGACTTTGATTTCTTTTATCCAACTTTGACTAAAACTTATGGTGTAAACAGGAAGTGCGGCCATGCTCTTACTCCCGTCTACACACCACTACAGTTGGGTTAAAAGATAAGTACATCATTGATGGACAATTGATTCAAATTGCACTGTACTTTTACAGCGATCTTAGATGTATGGGAAAAAAACTAGATATGCATGTAACCAGTCACGGACGTAACGTGTACGTGAGAAGGCCTACCATTTCTTAACTCTGGTTACTAGGAGAAGTCCTCAACCCATGTAAGATGATTACTTTAAGCTTCTCAAAATTGTTAATGTGGTAAATACCAGCTTTGAGAAATAGGTACAAAATTCTACAGTAAAGTCACAGTTGGAACCGAGTCCAAAGTTTCAAGATTGCGAAATGTCTTTTTATCTCGAATTTGAAAATAAGCGGGAAAATCATATGCATTTACATAAAGCGAGTGGCGGGAGCGGAGTGTAGGTTCAAGATATCGGTAAATGCGAGATAACTGGATTGGACTGTATTGGTTTCCTTGGTTTCTTTTGAAACTGGTCCCCCACTTTTCAAAATGACACCTTGTATTGCTGAAAAAATGAAATTATTAGCATGACTAGAGATCAGTATATCTGCAGTGGGACCTTCTTTAGGAGAAATATAAATACACAGCAGTAGAAACTAACAGTTTTAGTCCACTAGTCTTTATAATGATAACATATAGCACAGCCCTTAAAAATGACAAATTCCACCTAGCCCTAAAGATACCTTAACTTTGGGGAGTTCGTAAGGACTACAGGACTAGTGCAAATTTCTAACACTGAATACATGACCTGTTTCCTTCAGCTGGTAATAAATTGTTCAACATACCCTGTCCATTTGTCCCTTAAACGCTGGCGACTCTGTGATGTACTTGTTTGACAAGCTGTTGAAAGTGGTGTCCTGTTGGCTGGTGTCCATCACGTAGGTGTCCTACTGAGTTGGTGTCCTACAGCTGGGGACCAGGGATGTTGGCATATGTCATACACGCATCAACAATCTGGAGAAACAGTGGATACAGTGAATATAATGTTTTCGGAGTTGCCACTCTTAACACAGTTGTGACAGATCACAATAACAGTGTGACCACAAGTTCATGCACGTCTCATTTTTATCCTTTACATTTTTATCCTTTTTAAATAAGATCATGTTATGGCAATCATACTTGAAGTTAGGACATAGCTTGAATATAGATTGGGGGTACAATTTGTCAACTGCCTACAATTACCATACAGGGGACACACAATAAAAAGTGACACTCAGTTTCAATGCAGTTTACATCATAAAGTTTACATTTTCATAAATTTCTTGGTACAGTATGATGTCATCCACACTCAATTTCTAGATTAAGAAAGCTTAATTTAAATCAAGAAAAATACCCTGATAGTAGGGTCACGATACATGATACGGCACACATATCAACAAACTGACGCTGCAGAATGGATGTTATTTCAAGAAGTACTGGTGCCATAAAAATAATTTGATTATTTGAAATTAAGGGTAGTCCTGGGGTCCTTGAGGATGGCACCAATAGTATTTGAATCTAGGATCTCTTTAAATGTTATCTTTGTACATAAAGTCTATGACAAGGATCTATTGACTTTTATCAGGATCTTACAACTCCTAACAGTGGGGGTCCAGGGGACCCACAATAACTTTAAGGGTCCTGGCAGGCAATACGAGGGTCCAGTTAAGTAATGAAAAGGTATGGTATACTGTAGGTTTTGATGATTACTTTAGAGCCTGGATTGAGTCAGTGATCATGTTGACAGTGGTCATGATCGATGGATGAAATGACAGACATTCAAAACGGCTCTTGATGCGCTATAGGAACAATTACTATTATTGTGCGTCCCATGGGACACAGTAGATTCTTTTTCTGTGTCCAATCTAAACGTTTGTGTGTATTTGATGCACAATAGTGTGTCATGTAAAACACTGTCTCATGCTTTTTTTTAATCATTACATCCTATTAACTTAATGCTTTAGCTGTAGATTTACTAGTTTTGACATGATCAGGCACCATGCTACACACTGACCATTGCTGACTGTGGGTTTGTGTACATATGAGTGTGAAAGAAAATTATGTCAAGGTAGATTTAATCTAATCTCTAAATAAATATACATTTCATATTAATTTATTTGTGGTAAAATTATATAGATCTACAAGTCTAGAGAGAAGTGAGCATAAAACTTGAGCCAAAATGTATATGTGATAAATGGCATGAAACAGCAAATGTCACTCTGAATGAAATAAATGTGGACAAAACAGAATCTGTGATAACAAATACCATAAACATTGGATATATTGTGATTGTCTCTGTTGTTGCAAACTAGTACATAAAAGTACGTTATACTGGGGTTTGATATAACATACAAAATAAGCCAATCATAAATTGTGCATTCACTATACAATATATGGATACAACTTGCAGTGTTGAAAGTATGGTGACTACTCAGATACCTCTGGTCTGTATGTTGATAATCCGGTGTTGAGCCAAACTTCCCGAGAGGTAGGCAAGTGGTTCTTTCTACTATGCTAAAGAGCTGCACAAAGCACAGTGTTCAGCGTAATAGAGATAGTTTCCGGTATACATAATATGCAATCTGCGCTTGACCACGTAATCATTGAATGTGGATAACCCAAGAGGTCAGAGAGAGATTTGCTGTATTCTTATATCACATTGCACAAACAGAATATTCTAACTCTGAGACATGTCTGAACTAGAATCGTTCACTTCACATTCATTCGGCGGGACAGTGAACCAATGTACATAGTTCTAATAGTTCAATAGATTTGTGAACTAATCCCGCCAAAGCCTCACGTTTTCTCATCAGTTGGATGTACTTACGTCAAATCATAGATGGCACTAGTGTTTAGTTTGTTTGAAGCGTAGTCTACGATACAGATTTGTTTCCGCCGCCATTCACGGAAACAGTGTTGTTGTTTGACATCCGTTCTAACGCGAATTCTGATTGGCTTAAAATTGGATTTCCCCTGCCGGAAACAGTACATTATGAACTTACCTCCTCAATGTTGTGTATCTCGGGTTACACTACGCCAATGTCTTTTTTTATGCATCCTTTCAAAGATATACACTCCACGCAGTGTGTAGCTCGTAGCTCGATACTGGGTGTGAGTGTTCCGAGATCGACATTACGGTAGAACCGTTTTGGATGTCACTTGACGACACCACTCGATATAATATTTATGGAGCCGCATTTTACGGAAATATGCGAGGTTGTTCCGAAAGCGCGAGTGTTGTGTGATGTCAGAAAGGATGATACTGGGACTATCGCAGCCTGCATTCACCTGGTTGCGGTTCCATTTTAGCGATATTCATGTTCTTCTTGTTTGGATGATTAAAAATTGGCCGCCAAGATTAGATAACATATGCTGCGTGGATTTACATGGTGAACAAGCTCGCGGAAGTCCGTAGGGTCAGCTTTACAGCGATTTTACGTGCGCATTGTTGTCTTTTGTTTTGGTTCATAAATCTTTCTGTATTTCTAGAAGAATCTAAAAAATGCGTATGCCAGAATTTAGACCCAACAAATGTTTCCGGAAAAGCTTAATAAATAATTCAACTGAAAATTTTGAAGAGGTGAATTTGTCATCTAAGATTGTTCTGCACCAAGAGCTATAGTATAGCAGCGATAAAGATCAAACTGGTCGTATGTATCGGTGCGGGGAAACCCATTTTACTCATGAAAGAGTCGTCAGTATAGACAAATGAGTTTACATGGTGTTTCTTGGGTCCAGTCCACCCCAACCCCCGGGGATGTGTGTATGAGATAGCATGCAACTGTGGACACAGATACATGGCAGAGACCTCACGCCGCACAGCCACCAAATTAACAGATAACAAGACTTCTGTTGAGAAATATGACATTGCTATATTGATACTTGATAACTCTTCCAACAACCATGAATGAAGCAGTGTCAAGGGTTATGTCTGAAAAACAATGTTACATACCTGCCCACCACACAGAGGTAGACGTAACAAATACCTGCCCACCACACATGTAGACGTAACAAATACCTGCCCACCACACATGTAGACGTAACAAATACCTGCCCACCACACACGTAGACGTAACAAATACCTGCCCACCACACAGAGGTAGACGTAACAAATACCTGCCCACCACAGAGGTAGACGTAACAAATACCTGCCCACCACACATGTAGACGTAACAAATACCTGCCCACCACACATGTAGACGTAACAAATACCTGCCCACCACACAGGTAGACGTAACAAATACCTGCCCACCACACAGGTAGACGTAAAAAATACCTGCCCACCACACAGGTAGACGTAACAAATACCTGCCCACCACACAGGTAGACGTAACAAATACCTGCCCACCACACAGGTAGACGTAACAAATACCTGCCCACCACACAGGTAGACGTAACAAATACCTGCCCACCACACAGGTAGACCTAACAAATACCTGCCCACCACACAGGTAGACGTAACAAATACCTGCCCAACACACAGTCAGACGTAACAAATACCTGCCCACCACACAGGTAGACGTAACAAATACCTGCCCACCACACAGGTAGACGTAACAAATACCTGCCCACCACACAGGTAGACGTACGTAACAAATACCTGCCCACCACACAGGTAGACGTAACAAATACCTGCCCACCACACAGGTAGACGTAACAAATACCTGCCCACCACACAGGTAGACGTAACAAATACCTGCCCACCACACAGGTAGACGTAACAAATACCTGCCCACTACACACAGGTAGACGTAACAAATACCTGCCCACCACACAGGTAGACGTAACAAATACCTGCCCACCACACAGGTAGACGTAACAAATACCTGCCCACCACAAAGGTAGACGTAACAAATACCTGCCCACCACACAGGTAGACGTAACAAATACCTGCCCACCACAAAGGTAGACGTAACAAATACCTGCCAACCACACAGGTAGACGTAACAAATACCTGCCCACCACACAGGTAGACGTAACAAATACCTGCTCACCACACAGGTAGACCTAACAAATACCTGCCCACCACACAGGTAGACCTAACCAATACGTGCCCACCACACAGGTAGACGTAACAAATACCTGCCCACTACACAGGTAGACCTAACAAATACCTGCCAAACCACACAGGTAGACGTAACAAATACCTGCCCACCACACAGGTAGACGTAACAAATACCTGCCCACCACACAGGTAGACGTAACAAATACCTGCCCACCACACAGGTAGACGTAACAAATACCTGCCCACCACACAGGTAGACGCAACAAATACCTGCCCACCACACAGGTAGACGTAACAAATACCTGCCCACCACACAGGTAGACCTAACAAATACCTGCCCAAAACACAGGTAGACGTAACAAATACCTGCCCACTACACAGGTAGACGTAACAAATACCTGCCCACCACACAGGTAGACGTAACAAATACCTGCCCACCACAGAGGTAGACGTAACAATTACCTGCCCATCACACAGGTAGACGTAACAAATACCTGCCCACCACACAGGTAGACGTCACAAAAACCTGCCCACTACACACAGGTAGACGTTACAAATACCTGCCCACCACACAGGTAGACGTAACAAATACCTTCCCACCACACAGGTAGACGTAACAAATACCTGCCTAACACAGAGGTAGACCTAACAAATACCTGCCCACCACACAGGTAGACCTAACAAATACCTGCCCACCACAGAGGTAGACGTAACAAATACCTGCCCACCACACAGGTAGACGTAACAAATACCTGCCCACCACACAGGTAGACGTAACAAATACCTGCCCACCACACAGGTAGACGTAACAAATACCTGCCCAACACACAGGTAGACGTAACAAATACCTGCCCAACACACAGGTAGACGTAACAAATACCTGCCCACCACAGAGGTAGACCTAACAAATACCTTCCCACCACACAGGTGGACGTAACAAATACCTGCCCACCACACAGGTAGACGTAACAAATACCTGCCCAACACACAGGTAGACGTAACAAATACCTGCCCACCACACATGTAGACGTAACAAATACCTGCCCAACACAGAGGTAGACGTAACAAATACCTGCCCACCACACAGGTAGACGTAACAAATACCTGCCTAACACACAGGTAGACGTAACAAATACCTGCCCACCACACAGGTAGACGTAACAAATACCTGCCCACCACAGAGGTAGACGTAACAAATACCTTCCCACCACACAGGTAGACGTAACAAATACCTGCCCAAAACACAGGTAGACCTAACAAATACCTGCCCACCAAACAGGTAGACGTAACAAATACCTTCCCACCACACAGGTAGACGTAACAAATACCTGCCCACCACACAGGTAGACGTAACAAATACCTGCCAAACACAGAGGTAGACGTAACAAATACCTTCCTACCACACAGATAGACCTAACAAATACCTGCCCACCACACAGGTAGACCTAACAAATACCTGCCCAACACACAGTTAGACCTAACAAATACCTGCCCACCACACAGGTAGACCTAAGAAATACCTGCCCACCACACAGGTAGACGTAACAAATACCTGCCCACCACACAGGTAGACCTAACAAATACCTGCCAAACACACATGTAGTCATAATAAATACCTGCCCACTACACAGGTAGACGTAACAAATACCTGCCCACCACACAGGTAGACGTAACAAATACCTGCCAACCACAAAGGTAGACGTAACAAATACCTGCCCACCACACAGAGGTAGACGTAACAAATACCTGCCCACCACAAAGGTAGACGTAACAAACACCTGCCAACCACACAGGTAGACGTAACAAATACCTGCCCACCACACAGGTAGACGTAACAAATACCTGCTCACCACACAGGTAGACCTAATAAATACCTGCCCACCACACAGGTAGACCTAACCAATACCTGCCCACCACACAGGTAGACGTAACAAATACCTGCCCACCACACAGGTAGACCTAACAAATACCTGCCCACCACACAGGTAGACGTAACAAATACCTTCCCACCACACAGGTAGACGTAACAAATACCTGCCCACCACACAGGTAGACCTAACAAATACCTGCCCACCACACAGGTAGACGTAACAAATACCTGCCCACCACACAGGTAGACGTAACAAATACCTGCCCAAAACACAGGTAGACGTAACAAATATCTGCCCACTACACAGGTAGACGTAACAAATACCTGCCCACCACACAGGTAGAGTTAACAAATACCTGCCCACCACAGAGGTAGACGTAACAAATACCTGCCCATCACACAGGTAGACGTAACAAATACCTGCCCACCACACAGGTAGACGTAACAAAAACCTGCCCACTAAACACAGGTAGACGTTACAAATACCTGCCCACCACACAGGTAGACGTAACAAATACCTTCCCACCACACAGGTAGACGTAACAAATACCTGCCTAACACAGAGGTAGACCTAACAAATACCTGCCCACCACACAGGTAGACCTAACAAATACCTGCCCACCACAGAGGTAGACGTAACAAATACCTGCCCACCACACAGGTAGACCTAACAAATACCTGCCCACCACACAGGTAGACGTAACAAATACCTGCCCAACACACAGGTAGACGTAACAAATACCTGCCCAACACACAGGTAGACGTAACAAATACCTGCCCACCACACAGGTAGACGTAA